TACTAATCAATTCTTATGCTGAAGGCCTCACCAGTCTCTTCTGTGCCTTTGTTTCCCAGCTGTTAAACCCACATCCCTGCCCTTCCCTCCCCCTTTTTTGCCCAGGAATTTAAGTACAGAATAAATAACATCCAACTTGATTTCTTCTCTCCCTCTGCCCCCTTCTTCTTTCCACCTCTTCACTCTTCTTCCCTTCAAACTCTGAAGTCTCCTACTTTATGCCCCTGACCCTTCAGGCTGGCACCAAGATCCATCCAGAAGCTGGGAATGGGTGGCAGGGAATGGATCACTTGATTATTACCTGTTCTGTTCATTCCCTCTGGGGCACCTGGGATTGGCCACTGTCGGGAGACAGGATACTGGGCTAGATAGACCTTTTGATCTGACCCAGTATGGCCGTTCTTATGTTCTTATCCCTTTTCATCTCCAGTCATCCCTGGTTCCGTGTCTAGTTCCATTCTTTTCACTTATTAAGCTCTCTTTTTTCCTCAGGATGACATCTCTGTGTCACCAGCTTCAAAGCATTGACCATACATAATTTTAACATCCATTCCCTTCTGTCAGATGAAAATACATTTTAGTACCTATTACTGTTTTGAGAATACTTTTTAGTGACAGACTTTCATAGCTCTTCTATCAAAATAATCATCTTGCTTCATGTGAGTTAAAATTCTTTTATACATGTTTGTTGAAACTAGATTAGTGTTTTAGAAACCTAAAATATTGTAGCTAGAATAGTGAGGGTTCCTTTATCAAGTGTTTCAGCCTGTTTATCCTTTGTCTATTCAAACCTTATAGTAGCTCTATTGAAACTCTGAAAAAGGAAAAGGACAAAAAATCTTCTCTGGGAAATTAATAAAGCAACATATTTAAGTATTTTTTCCTTTTAAAAAAATTCAAAACAAACAGAGCAATTTTGTGATGAATATTTTCCTTTTTGTAAATTCCAGTCCCTGGTGATATCTCATTGAAGAACAAGGTGAACTTTCAGTGAAAAACCCAGCTTGTTCCTGATGAGGGACAGTTGGGAAACCTGATAAAGACAGATGGCAAGCTATTTTGTTACACCTATAATCTGCAATAGCCTGAGCAAAAACTAAGTGAAGAATATTTTTATAATTGACCTTCCAGTGAACTTGCGTAAACATTTTTTTCACATACTCCGAGGATGGTGATGACCATATGATGTTATTTTGTTCACTGCTAGAATACTCTGTATTGAAATATGTTATGTTATCAATTATAGGGTTAATCCGTTTTAGACTGGCATAAACAGGATTTTTTTTTCCATTTTTGACACTACGGTGAAGCATTTGGAATTGAAATAGTCCATAATGGTTTTTTTTTTCACTTTTCCATAACAACGTGAACACTAAATTATAGCTGTGCAATTATGTAAACAATGGAAATGCTTCCAGAATGAATACTTCATTTTAGATTTTCATTTTGTGTAATTGTTGAAAGGTTTGGAGCCATAATAAACCAAAATTATTTTACACATTTATCCTTCTAAAGGTCAATTATGAAAGAAGTAAAGAAACAACACTGTACAAAATGAGTAAACCAATTTCTATTGCCATCACCATATGTTTTTCTTATTGCTTGTGTTTTTCCAGTTACTGTGTACATAGCATTCAATTAAAGTGATTCATTTACTAGGCTGTAAGCTGCTGAATACAGTTTACTTTTATAGAACCGTGCTTGGAAGGGAAGGAAGCAACTTGCCTCTGTTTGAATTACTTGATTTTTGCAAGATCACGAATAAAGGACAGATGTTCTCACTTGGTTGCTTTCTCATAAATCTGAATCTTTTGATAAGCTGCAAACCTACTGTATTACTACATAAAATCTAACTTTTATCACTAGATGTGTATAATGCACAAAAGTGTGTTAATCAGGAAATAAGAGATAAAATTTGACAAACTTTGTCATTAAACTTCTCATTTTTAAGGTTATATTATTTGTATTAATTTTAAGTAAAGCAGAAGCCTTTTTCCTATTTTTTTTTTTCAGATTCTGATTTTATTTATAGTGGTATAAAACAGGATTAATGTTAAACAAGTCAATAGAACCATCATGGATTTATACTGGTATCACTGAGATCAGAATTTGACTGTGGAAACTGATATAAAGTCAAAGACTGAGTGTAAACTGACTTTTACTCAATTATACATCGATAACTTTGGTGCCAATAGCTGTGAGCCTGCCACGTCACCCAGTAGCATGACATGTGTAAAATTGCAAATCCTGAGTGTGAATAGTGAAAAAGAGAAGCTGAGGGTCACTCCACTGTAATAGCAGTCTTTTCAAAACAATTTTATAGAAGTTTTCTGACTTACTTCAGGGGAAAAAATCTTTTTTTTTAAATTTGTAAAAGATACTTTACTATGGTTCTTCAGCAGCAAATGTGGCATCTGTAACTAAATTCTTGCATTGTTTAGAAAAATGCAGTGTAAAAACATATCTGGTGCTAAAGTTGCATCATCTTGTTTTATATTGCAACTGTATTCTCACTCCTACAGCTTTGTCTTCCATTTATATTAGTTTCTTCCTTTGCTTATTTACAGAAGGTGATGTAAAAAGGACGAAAGTTAAAGCTTCATAATCATGTGTGCAGTGCTTTCTTAACCTAATCAACACCGTGCTAGCAGTAGACATTAGTAAAGGGTGATCGTCCTAAAGGTTCAGGTTCAGGTTGGATAAATACCCAAAAGACTGGGTGTTTATTGAATCTTTGAAGCCTCGTCAGGAGGCTCACAGACCTTTTGTCTATACAGAGCCCTGCCCTCTGTAGTTTCCACAGCCAACTTTTAAAGATTTCAAAACGAAAATTGAAGATTTGGTTTAATATCTAACTTGAACAGATGGAATTAATGAAAGCAGGACAAAGTTAATGCAGTTGTTTGTGGTGTTCATCATCAAATATGCTACATTCTCCCACCTTTTAAGCCAGGTTTGCATGCATTTTTTTTATTGTAGCATATGTCAGCAGAAGTGTACTCCCATCTGCTGCTGTATAGTGTGATGCCTGATATTCAGAGCACAGTACAATACCTACCTCTGTTAGTAATTACAGGTGTGTTGTGAGGAGCCCAATGCATTAATCAGCTCCTTAATTATGAAAAAAAGGGTGGATCTTTTGTTCTGCCCTCAGAGCATGAGTTTACCACCCACTTTATGAGCTGCAGCATCCATCTGCTCAGTCTTTTAGAATGTTTGCATTGACTGATATTGACTTTAAAATGTATCAAAGGAAGTGATTAAAACTAGTTTAAACATTAACTTGAGTGGCATTGTGGTCATTCAGAGAGGTGAAAACACTATCTTCTGCAATGCCAAAATTAAAAATTATCTCTTAATTTTATAATAGACAAGCTGGTTTATCATTTCACAGTATGCTAATGTAAATATTTTAGAGGAGAAATAATAAGTAGTTTTTGCTCAGACTTCTATGTTTTGCAAATTACTGATGTAATTTAAAAGAATGGTCTGCAAGTAGGAAAAAGACTGAGTTTATGCTTTTTTGCTTATTTATGATGTGTATGAAGAAGACTTGCTTTTTTAACGACCAATTTTCTCAGAAATGTCAAATCTGGTCTTCATTGTTGAGGATAACTGGAGGTTTCAGAATTAATGTAGATTGATAACTTTCTCAGATCTTAATTGAAAGGATGGAAATGTTGAATCCTTAACAAAGGGAGTTTTTCTCAGGTGTTTTTGTTTAAATAAGTGATTTTAAGTGTTTTAAGCAGTTTGAATAAAATTATTTGTATTATCAATCAAGTTTCACTGCCTTGATACCTGTGATGTCAAATTCTTGCTAATTTTTTAGCTACTGATGGACTATTCCAAGGTAGACAAATCTTTATTTCTAATTTAAAAATCAAGCAGGAAGAATATTTTGCGATTTAAAATAAGGTCAGGCCTTCTTTAGTGCATTAAAAAAGTTGTGGGGAAGGGAGGGAGCCTAATCATTTTCTTGAATAAGTTTTCTTTTTTAGTAGGAATAAGAATTTAAACCGAGGTTTTGAACTTCAATGGAAATCAACTACCTCCATTCTTCTGAAAAAATAATAATTGCAGTCAGGGTTTATGCAAACTTTGTGTCTAATTTTGAACCCACTCAAGTTTTGTAGATGTGGAACTTCAACTCAGACATTGTTGGGATCATTTCTCGATAAGGACAGCCAGTGAAAAAATTTGAGCAGATGGCAAAGGAATGAAAAAATTCTCACTCCAAGAAAGTGTGTGCGCGCGCAATACGTGTATGTGTGGCAGCAATGCTTTTGATGGTGTTCTACTCCTTAAAATTAATGCAGACTTCCTTTTAGCATATGAAATAATTAATGAAAAAATTATGTTTCCCCCTATCTAGTTTATTATGGTAATAGGTAGGTGTGACTTCTGGTAAAAGTTAAACAAAGATTTCTCGGTTACTGTCTTTCTCTTTGCTATGCCCAGGTACTTTTTGTGTTGACATTTGAGCGTTCCTATGAAGCAGTCATACTAAAGTTTTAATAATGGCTGTAAGTTATTGTCTTGAATTACTCAGAAACAAGGACAGTAGCTAGTGTAATTTCATTAATGTTACATAGCCATGGAAGCCTGAATAAAATGATTTTGTGGCCCATTTCTGATGGTATATCAGTTTATCATAAACTTACAAACCAGCTGAATGTTTTAGTACATCTAATAAACATAAAACACATCATCTTATAAACAGTTGTTTCCTTTTCAGTGTGTTTCTAAATAAAGAAATCTATGAATTTTTCTCAAAGGGAGTAAGAATTGGAAACCATTCTAGGAGGTGTGCACCTCGAGGACAGAATAGTAAACCATATCAATGTTTTGGGGTGCTCCATTATATGTATATTTATGTTTTATATATCAAGTATTAGCACTTAATTTCTGTTACCAGTAACATCATTATAAAATACAACGATAAATATTCTCAAATATTTTTTTCTATAAAAATTGAGAGAGCGTTTCCTTCTTTTCAGGATATTTTAAATACCGTCATAAAACACTGCCCATCTTGCTTTTTCTTCTTGGGTTTACCTGGTTTTACAATGCTGATAGGAGACTTCATCACAGCTGCAGCCAGAATCCTTAGTACAGACATGTTGGAGGTGAGTATGACAATGCTCAACATCCAAGTTCCCAGGAGAGTGCACAGTCGCTAACAAGGTTCAGATTTCTCTACTCTAACAGGTGTTGACTCATTAGTGCAATGTGAAACTGGGCTCTCAGGGCAGATACCATGGCAGCTGATGTGTGAAATTGTAGGATAAGGTGACACTAGTATTGCAAAGGTGTTTCATCAAAAGGCCAAAGTGTGAGAAATCATATCCTCACTAATATTGCAGCACATTTACACACTAAAAGCAAGACTTGGGTTTCAGAATCTCATTAGCTTTCTACAAGAAATGAATATTGAAAACACAAAGCTTTCTCATAACAAATGCAGATTTTCCTACATTTTATAAGGGTTAATAGCAATGTGAACCAGATACCATCAAATCTAATTTAAAAAATTTAATAAAATACAAAACTATTACTGGTAGGCTAAAATAAGTTTAAAGGTCTGACAAGCCTGCAAAAGCAAGGAGAACTTGTGCGTAAGAATGGGACATCAGAACAAGGGTGTTCTTTCTCTGTGTTTGTGAGTAGTGTAATTATTGATGTTTTTATGCACAGTAACTTTAGATTGTTGTGTAGAGGTATGTTAGCTGCATAGGCACAGAGTATGAGTTAAGGAAGAAGAAAGATCACCTGCTCTTTTTTTCAGCAGAATTCAAATGGTGAAACATTTTGCCCCTAGCTATCCATAAACTGAGTTTTTTGGTGATCCTTGGATTTACAGCCATCAGTTTTAGTTTACTTTTTGTCAATTTTGTACAGTTCTCACAAAAATTAACCAACCTGATTATTGATCAAAAGCTTGCAGAGCTAGTAAGTACTGCAGAACACCTTGTAAATATGTAAAAGAATTTTTTTTTAAAAATCCTTCCTCTGATAAAACACTTGTAGGGCACAAACCATTTTATATTTGCTATGCAATATTTTTATTTGAAAGATTACTAAATATGCAGAATTAATTGATATACTTAAGGCACATATATCTATTTGCCCTTCGTTTTCTTGGACAGTTTAATTGGAATAGAGCTTTACCTAAGAAACATTTTGTGGTATACCTGGTCTATTTATATGGTCTACTCTAGTGTATGCTGTATGCTCTCCTTCTAGTGTCATGCTATCAGTGTTACTGTAAATGCTGAATTTCCATTCAAGACCCATGCACACCTCTTGTGTGAGTATGTGGGGAGGTTGGTTGGTTTGGTTGATTGGTTTTGCAGCCATAACTATGACACTTGGATATTGCAACAATGGGCATGTTATAAAAACACATAGCTCTTGGTGCTGAAAGCTCATATATGAGGTTGGAGCCATCTGTATCAAGGAAGCTCCACATGGGTGCAGGATTATACCCACGCATATGAACTTTCTCGATCAGGCCACAGATGGAAATATTAGAGAGCAAAATTAATACCTAAAATGTAGGCTGACATTTTCCATGCTTGACCCTGACCTAAGAGCAATTTTTGTTAACCTGTACCAAATTTGATTTAAATTTGGTTCTGTAACACTGCAGTTCAAATGCAAAGAACGTTTATGTAAAGAATATTTACATTAAATTATTTTGCATAAAAAAACCCATAACAAATAGAAGCATTACTGTTTTCTATATTATTAAAATTGTTTTATAGTGTGCCATAAATATCTACACTACTGTACAAAATACATTACACCAGAAACGCTGACTATCAAAGACATAGCAAAAATTGCGAATAAATTGAACAGAAGTGAGGATGGATGTGAAGAGGCTGGAGAGCAGAAACAAGATAGGAAGGATTTCTAGAAGAAACTGATTTTAAGGAAGCACTTGGAGGAGGAAGGGAGAGGATGCATTTGTTAGGCAAGACATTCCAAGCATGAAAGAGTGCAAAGCAGAGTGGAAAAATTAGGGGAGCATTTGGAGGACACTAGAGAGTAGAGATGGGGTGTAGAAAGAAACTTGGAGCAAGGTAGCACAGGCCCTTTCCAAGTAAAGTACTTAAATTTATAATAGTGGAGTGCTTCAGGGAGAATTTGGTTGGTCATAGGCGCATGAGAGTAACCTAAATTAAGCACCTGAAGAGGGAGGAATGCAGAGAGGTAGTAAGTGGGGAGTTGCTGGAGAAGAGAGAGGTTATAGTAACCAAAATAAGAGGTCCAAGGCACAGACTTCTTAATTAAGTTACAGTTAGGGCACTGAGATACCATGTTGATGAGAACTGCCTAAAAAACTACAGTCAGATAGGTGGGTAGGTATAGCTAGATTTAGAGATTGTAAATATGTATCAATTTATAGGTTGAGCTCAAATTATAAACATCAGTAACTACCAACATATATGCCAAATATATCAGATAACTAGGTTAAGAGAAACATTTAGTAAATAATTTCCCCCCCTTATCCTAGAGAGAGAGAAAGTAAGAATATTTAAAAATTTCAAACTCAAATATTTAAAGATAAATCTGATATTTATCTTTCTCTGTTTACCTGGGCATTCCAAGTATATCAATAGGCTTCTAATTTTTAATTGTATAGTCACTTTTAGCATCCAGTGCATGTGAGTCTAATTTTCAAACGTTGGATCCAAATTCTACAATTAGATGCTCAAATCGGCAGATAGGCACATAAAACAGACATTTATATGTTTAGCTGTGTGTTTTAAGCTTCCAAATATGGGATTTGAACAGCCTATTTAGGCATTTATGTATGAAAATTAGGCTCCCCAAATCGTAGAAAAGATCTCATTTTAGATCAGTATGTTAATGTCCATTTTTAAAAGGAGAGGCTCATGTTTTGGAGTTAATGGAGTAAAACTAAATGCAGTATTTTATTTGTAATGCATGCAGCGTAATAATTTATGCACAATTTGCTATTGATATGATACTGCATGAAAGTATCTAGCATTTTGAGAACTTCCATATCACTTGGTTGAGAGAAATAATTAAAGCTAGCAAAGGTTTTAATGACTCTATCGTTGGTTCAGCAAGCACAGTACACATCTTGTAGTTTCTGATTACAGTGTAACCTCAGAGTTACAAACACCTCGGGAGTGGAGGTTGTTCGTAACTCTGAACAAAACATTCTAGTTCTTTCAAAAGTGTACCACTGAACATTGACTTCGTTCAGCTTTGAAATTTTACTATGCAGAAGAAAAATGCTGCTTTCTCTTTATTTTTTTAGTAGTTTACTTTTAACACAGTACTGTAATGTAATTGCTTTTTTTTGGCAGGGGTGGGGGGCTCTGCTGCTGCTTCATTGTGTATTTCCAGTTCCAAATGAGGTGTGTGGTTGTTGCCTGGTCAGTTCATAACTCTGGTGTTCGTAACTCTGAGGTTCTACTGTATTACACGTATATTTGAATTGATTCCAAGTAGCACAGATAGCCCCAGAATGGTGAAGCTACAGAATTATCCAGAAGAGTTGGCAATAAAGCATTGTGCATGAACAACAGATGAGGATCAATGAAAATTTAACCCTGAGGTGGGATGTAATGGCCTAATTTCCAAGAGTGGTCAGTGCGGTCAGTTGGAGAGCTAGATCCTACAGAAGCAGTTGCTTGCCTCTTCTTGCCAAACTACTGACCCTAAAGACCATCTGAAAATGGAAATAGGAGGAAACAATGGGAGGAACAATATGTATCCTAATAAAACCAAAACTTTATGCTGAGTATGCAAAGGTAATGCCTGATTACTATTGAGGGTATAGTTTATTGTACAAATTCAGCAAAAAAAAGAGCAGAAGAGAAATGTGATCAAGTACAAAGAACTTTGAGTCTCTTTGATGATGTTACACAGTATCACCATTCTTTAAAATGTCCTTTTTATAGCTTATTTGAAAAAATAACATATATTATGTTTGTATTTTTTCCTTTAGGCCCCTCGGTCAGAAGCTCATACCATTCTTGGTTCTCTTGTTTGCTTTCCAAATATCTACCAAGAAATCCCTCTATTACAACCCATCAGTGAAGCTGATGAAATCATCGCAGGAGCTGCAGATGTCAAAGTAAAGTAAAATTATATTAGTTAATTCTTATCTAATCTAGTGAAGTTTTACATTTGGTTAAATAATTTGATTATTTTTATCATGCATTAAAGAAATGATCATACATTAATTGATAAGTGATACTTTCTTAATTTTACAGACCATTTTTAGCAATGAACTAAAAATACAGTGTAAATGTTTCAACTTGTGAAGTTAATTTTTTCATTTAAAGGAGAGAGAACTAGCTAAAATCAGGTGCTGTTCATTTGTGTCAGTCAAATCATTTAAATCTCAAATTATAAAAAAGCTATTTATTTTTATTATGATGTAGTGTATCTGTTCCTTAGATATAAGTACATGATTGACAGACGGGGCTATGCACAATATTTATTTTTCATGTTATATTAAAGTATGAAACAATGTACATTTACTGGAGAGAGAAATCAGTTTTGCTCTGATGTGTTTTCTTAGAGCATTAATTTCAATGGGACTCCATAGGAGAGTAACTGTACACATGGGTATAATGTTTTTCAGTATGGGGGCCTTGTTTTAAACAAGTGATAAAATGTTTAATTTACGCTGAAGTCAGCCCTAGTGGTAAAGATTGCACAAAAGCCATGAGATACAGTGCCACAGTAATATACTGGGGAATTTGGCTAAAGATGTAGGAGAATCTTCAAATGCCAAGTAGGGAACTTCAGGTGGTGGGAAGAGGAGAAGACCACCCTCCCACACACCCCCTCCTTGACACCTGGTATGATATTCTTGCATTCTCCACCGGATATGAATTGGGCTTGATAGAGTTATGAGAAATATTAAAATGAACCAAGTTAGGGTTCAGAGTAGCAGCCGTGTTAGTCTGTATTCGCAAAAAGAAAAGGAGTACTTGTGGCACCTGAGAGACTAACCAATTTATTTGAGCATAAGCTTTTGTGAGCTACAGCTCACTTCATCGGATGCATTCTGTGGAAAATACAGTGAGGAGATTTATATACACACAGAACATGAAAAAATGGGTGTTATCATACACACTGTAAGGAAAGTGATCACTTAAGATGAGCTATTACCCGCAGGAGAGCGGGGGGCTCAGGCGGGGAGAAGAAAACCTTTTGTAGTGATACTCAACGTGGGCCATTTCCAGCATCTACTTGCGCTATATTGATGACATCTTCATCATCTGGACCCATGGAAAAGAAGCCCTTGAGGAATTCCACCATGATTTGAACAGTTTCCATCCCACCATCAACCTCAGCCTGGGCCAGTCCACAAAAGAGATCCACTTCCTGGACACTACAGTGCTAATAAGCGATGGTCACATAAACACCACCCTATACCGGAAACCTACTGACCACTGTTCCTACCTACATGCCTCCAGCTTTCACCCAGACCACACCACATGATCTATCGTCTACAGCCAAGCTTTACGATGCAACCGCGTTTGCTCCAACCCCTCAGACAGAGACAAACACCTACAAGATCTCTATCAGGCATTCTTACAACTACAGTTGAAGTGAAGAAACAAATTGACAGAGCCAGAAGAGTACCCAGAAGTCACCTACTACAGGACAGGCCCAACAAAGAAAATAACAGAACGCCACTAGCAGTCACCTTCAGCCCCCAACTAAAACCTCTCCAACGCATCATCAAGGATCTACAACCTATCCTGAAGGACGACCAATCACTCTCACAAATCTTGGGAGACAGGCCAGTCCTTGCCTACAGACAGCCCCCCAACCTGAAGCAAATACTCACCAGCAACCACACAACAGAACCACTAACCCAGGAACGTATCCTTGCAACAAAGCCCGTTGCCAACTGTGTCCACATATCTATTCAGGGGACACCATCATAGGGCCTAATCACATCAGCCACACTATCAGAGGCTCCTTCACCTGCACATCTACCAATGTGATATATGCCACCATATGTCAGCAATGCCCCTCTGTCATGTACATTGGTCAAACTGGACAGTCTCTACGTAAAAGAATAAATGGACACAAATCAGACGTCAAGAATTATAACATTCATAAACCAATCGGAGAACACTTCAGTCTCTCTGGTCACTCGATTACAGACCTAAAAGTGGCAATTCTTGAACAAAAAGACTTCAAAAACAGACTCCAATGAGAGACTGCTGAATTGGAATTAATTTGCAAACTGGATACAATTAACTTAGGCTTGAATAGAGACTGGGAGTGGATGGGTCATTACACAAAGTAAAACTATTTCCCCATGTTTATTTCCCACCCCCCACTGTTCCTCAGAAGTTCTTGTTAACTGCTGGAAATGGCCCACCTTGGTTATCACTACAAAAGGTCCCCCCCACACACACACACTCTCCTGCTGGTAATAGCTCATCTTAAGTGATCACTCTGGTTACAGTGTGTATGATAACACCCATTTTTTCATGTTCTGTGTGTATATAAATCTCCTCATTGTATTTTCCACAGAATGCATCCGATGAAGTGAGCTGTAGCTCACAAAAGCTTATGCTCAAATAAATTGGTTAGTCTCTCAGGTGCCACAAGTACTCCTTTTCTTTTTGCAAATTAGGGTTGAGTCCTTTTCTGAACTAAATAAAGTAGGCCAAAATTTTGAGACTTGTCTGCTTAGAACTGAGACACCCTAGGGCTGAATTCACAAAAGGGCTTAGGTGCCTAACTGCTAAGTCTGACAAAACTGGGTTTCACAAACCCCGCTGCTCAGCTGCCTCCGAACACTGTATAGACACCTAAACTCACTCTGCGCCTAAATTTTTTCAGCAAAAGTTCCTGTGCGTCTATAGAAAAGGAGTACTTGTGGCACCTTAGAGACTAACCAATTTATTTGAGCATGAGCTTTCATGAGCTACAGCTCCGATGAAGTGAGCTGTAGCTCACGAAAGCTCATGCTCAAATAAATTGGTTAGTCTCTAAGGTGCCACAAGTACTCCTTTTCTTTTTGCGAATACAGACTAACACGGCTGTTACTGTGAAACCTGTCATTGTGCGCCTATGTTTCTGCCTCTGCTCATGCACACTGCCGCCCCATGCCAGGCATCTGGATGCCTAGTCCCAGAGCAATGTACCAACAGTGAGAAGATAGGCATTTCTCTGCCTAATTAACTTGCAAGGCCCAGTGTGGAAGGGGGTCTCTGAGCGCACTTACCAGAATGAGCCCCCATGGACAGACTTATACAAAGTGGCTGGGGGAGGGAGGACCCTCCTCATAACATTGAGCCCAGTGTTTAGAGTACTCACCTGTGTTGTGGGAGACCTCTGGTTCAAATCCCCTACATCTGAGGTAGAGAAGGGATTTAACAGGTACCTGTAACCTCTCAGGTGAGTGCTCTAGGCTATGGGATATTCTAATGTGGGGCTACCTCAGGCTTTCCTCTTGAAGATGTTCCACTGTGAATAAATAGTGAAAGAATAGTTGGGCCAGAGGGAGAGCGAGAGAAAATATGAGAGTGACTCTGTAGCCTGGGGATTAGCAACCGGAGGTGGGAGACCCAGGATCTAGTACCCCTGCTCCAATGACTTCTTAAAATTATTTATCCACAGTGGAACAGCTCCAACAGGAGAGACTGAGGGAGCACCACATAAGAATATCCCAGATCTCTCGCCTGAGAGATGGCAGATCCCTGTTCAAATTCCATCTACTCTTCAGGTGGAGTGGGGCTTGAACCGGGATTACCCTAAGCACTGGGCTAAAAGTTAGGAGGGAGCGTCTCCTCTGAACCTCCCTTCATCCCCCTCTTATTGCAAAAACAGCATAGGTGCCTAATGCCAAGAGAGGGTTTGCATCTGATAATCCCAAGAAGATGGGAAGGTGCCTCCCTCCAGACTGCGTTTATGCACCAAACTCCCTCAGCAGGAGGGGCTTAGGACTCATCCCTCATCTTGGCATCTCCCATTGGGTAGCTTGGGTGGGGAGCTGCCTAGCATGCTGGCTTTTGTGAACCCCATTCTGAGTCACCTGTCTCTCCCTATTCATTGTATAGGGAGTCTAGGCCTGAACTCAGGCTTTGTGAATCCCAGCAATTTTCTAGGCACCTAGAGGTTAGGCGTGGAGACGCTCAGCATCACCACATCTACATTTCTTTGTGTATCTATCCCATAAATCCCTAGTTAGGCTGTTAAAAGTGACTTTGATTTTTCAGACATGCTGAGCACTCCCAATGAGACCAGTGGGTGCTCAGCAATTCTGAAAATCAGCTGACTTCAATTTGGATGCCGATGTTTAATTGTAGGTACTTAGAGTCATCCACCCAATTTTATAAATGTTGGCTGTAACCAATATGGCTCTCACTTTTTCTAAGGGATATTTGTTTCATATCATATTTTGACAAGAGTGTACTGAGACTACCAAATTTATTTCACTTGTGACTCAGTCCAAATTAAATGTCTAACACACTTGAATTAATAGAGAAGTAATCTGTTTGTGGAAAAAAGTGTTTATTCTAATGAATTTTATTGTTTTAGTGTTACCTCATAAATATTCTGTTGAAGAATGCCACAGATGAGCCCAGTGAAACTGCAAGGTAAAATCCTGAATGAAAGAGAAAATACTGTGGAGTCTTAAGATGGCAAATTGAAACAGAAATAAGTTTGTGTGAAAGGGCTGTACTTTTTGGAGGCCATTCAACTTGAACAGTATTAAAAATAATAGGTTGGATGACAATGTTTTGGGGGATAGTTGAAACTGAGTGTGTTGTAAAGTTTTTTAAACGGATTAGACTGAAACTTCTTGTAAAAGAATATTATATTCTTGTGGGTGCTTTTTATTACTATTATTTCATCTATCTGTAAACAGGTAACTATGTCCATGGTTCCCCTTTTGAACTTTTGTTTTGTAGCACAGACAGTGGAGCCAAATTTTGCTCTCAATCGCAGTGTAAGGAAGACCAGAATTTGGACTGTTAGCGCACATACATACCTTGAAGCTTTGTCTTTTTTGATTTTGTATTCATTCATAGATTCCAAGGCCAGAAGGGACCATTTTGATCATCTGGTCTGACCTCCTGTATAACATAGGCCATAGAACTTCCCCAAAATAATTCCTAGAGCGTATCAGAAAAACATCCAATCTTGATTTTAAAATATCCACTGATGGAGAATCCCCTACGACACTTGATAAATTGTTCCAATCATTTAGTACTCTCACCGATAAAAATTTACTCCTTATTTCCACACTGAATGTGTCTGTCTAACTTCAACTTTCAGTTGTTGGATTGTGTTACTCCGTTCTGTACTAGATTTAAGAGTCCATTATTTAATATTTGTTCTGCATATAGATACATATAGACTGTAATCAAGTCACCCCTTAACCTTCTCGTTGTTAAGCTAAATAAATTGAGTCTATCACTACAACTCATGTTTTCAAATCCTTACTTTAAAAAAAAAACGTATATGTAAAAGAAAACCAAAAGTTTCTTTTTAACCTTTATTTTCCCTTTTCAACTATTAGTTTTAATAAAATCTGTCCTATGCATTTTCTTACTAAAAAGGTTAATCTGATAGACAAAGCACATCATCCTGAATAATGTAAAAAGCAGGTAAACAGTATGGCATCCACTCTAAGATATTTTCATCGTGTCTTGCTGGATGTCAAATGTATTTACATGTGTCTTGACAACTTTGAAGGATACAAGGCAGGGGTAATCAATTGTTTTTTGTCAAGGTTCAGACTTCTTGCTCAAGGTATATTCAAGGTCTAGACTCCAGAGAAAATAATACAACAATAAAAACAATGATGATGATAATAATAAGTAAATAAAAAGGTTTTGTGGTCCATTCAAAAGTATTTGACCATCTGGGTTTGGCCTGCGGTCCATTTATTGACTGCCCATGTTACAAGGTATGCAGTTTTCAGAGTGGTAGCCGTGTTAGTCTGTATCAGCAAAAAGAACGAGGAGGACTTGTGGCACCTTAAAGACTAAATTGATTTGGGCATAAGCCTTCGTGGGCTAAAACCCACTTCATCAGATGCATGCAGTGGAAAATACAGTAGCAGGATATATATATTCGGAGAACATGAAAAAATGGGGGTTGCCATTCCAGCCCTAACGAGACTAATCAATTAAGGTGGACTATCATCAGGAGAAAAAACCTTTTGTAGTGATAATCAGGATGGCCCATTTCAAACAGTTGACAAGAAGGTGTGAGTAACAGTGGGGGGAAAAATAGCATGGGGAAGTAGGTTTTAGTTTGTGTAATGGCCCATCCATTCCCAGTCTTTATTCAAGCCTAATTTAATGGTGTCCAGTTACCCAGGTTATTAAAGAGACAAGGTGGGGGACCATTCAGGGTAAAATGGCCCGTTAACATCCGTCCAGTCATAGGGGGTAAAGGAAGGGGGTGAGGAAGTCAGTTGTGGGAGTGGTGGTGTTAGCTGCTTTCTTTCCCCCTATGACTGGAAGGGTGTTCATGAGCCACTTCACCTTGCAGGTCCATTTGAAATATGTACTAACTACTTATGCTAAACAATCAGTGCCACCTTCTATTTAGCTGTGACACTGAATACCTTTCCCAGCCCTGAAGAAGAGCTCTGTGTAAGCTTGTCTCTCTCACCAACAGAAGTTGGTCCAACAAGAGATGTTACCTCACCCACTTTGTCTCTCTAATATCCTGGGACCAACATGGCTACAGCAACATTGTATACAGTTTTGAAGGAGGCATTTGAATCCATCAGATCTATTTCTAGATATTCAAAATCTGCATATTTTTAACATGCTATTAGTTACGTGCAACATTTAATTAAAAGTCAGAAAATACACGGAGTAGATCATAGCTACAAACAAGAGCTTGCCACCTGTTTTGGGAGAAGGTTCTTTTAAGGATTCTAAATTAAAAGAAATGCTAAACTTTACATTTAAACAATCAAGACTGTGATACCAGACAAAGAAAGAAGTTTAAAAAAAAATTCCTGTGGGTGCTGTTTTTTTGCCACTGAAGTCAATGGGAGTTTTATCCTGGACTTCAGTGGCAGCAGGATCAGACCTAATATATTTTAATGCAATATACAGTTCTTTTACAAATAATTTTTGTAATCACAAGGGCCCAATCTTGCAAGCATGAGCACACTACATCCTTGATGATTTGTCCTAAGAAGGCAAGGTTGAACATGGGGTGAGAGTTGGAAAGGTCTTTCTCACTCAATGTTGGGTTTTTCAAGAATGAGCTTTTTTCAGGTAAGTTGGCAGGGTTGCTATCTGAAGGGGAGACTTAGTCACCAAGATGAATAAAAAGATGTTTTCCATTGATGAAGACATCCTTTTAGGAGTTGATTTTTTTGAATGGGTGAGTCATATGCCATGATATAAATAGATCTATATTCACTATATAATAATGTGAAAGAGAAGTGTGTGTGTCTCATCTAGGAAATGTTTATTTGGTTAATGTATTACTAGGGTTTTATTGGAGGAGTCTTTACTGGAGCAATATTTCCATTATTAGTGAGAACATTGGTTTTCCCCAACCAGGAAGTTCATGGATCAGTTTTGTAGACAGTGGTTTATATATTCCTAAGGGCTTCCAAAGGTTACTCTTGCACAGTCAGATGGGTTGGCTGGAAAGTTGGAAAAAATAGCAAACAACTTGATTTTAAAAATAAAACAACTCCAAGCCAACTCAAAGGTTCAATACTTAGCAATGTTAAAATAGTGCAACACAACTCATAATACTTTAGGAGGATCACCAGTTTAGAAAGTTGTGGATAAAAGTCTCACAGCATCTAACAAGCTTCTTGAGCCAAAGACAGTTAATCCTGGGGTAGTTACAGAAGAGCTATATTTCAAGAGGCTAGGGGCATGGCTACACTTGCAGATGTAGAGCACTTTGAGTTAAACCCGCCTTTGGAGAGTGCAGTAGGGAAAGCGCTGCAGTCTGTCCACACTGACAGGAACAAGCATACTGGCATGGCCACATCTGCGGCTCTTGCAGAGGCATTGGGAGTGGTGCATTATGGGCAGCTATCCCACAGAGCACCTCTTCCCATTCTGGCGCTGTGGCTTATGGGAAGGGGGCGGGGGGTGCGGGGCATTCTGTGTCCTGTCCCAACACCCCATGATGCATCGGTTCACATCCCAGCAATCTCTGTGCTTCTGTCCACATTTGGTGCCATCTTTCAACATTTTTTGTGCTGCGTGCTCTGTCTTCCCTTTCGGTCTGCGGGAATGGAGCCCGAACTGCTGAGGAGTATGCTAACGAGTCTCGCTAGCACGTCACGTTTGGCAGTCGAGTTATTCCTTATGATCCAAAATGACAGTGAGGGATCCAATGATGATATTGACTTGAGTAATGCATATGACATGAGATTGCTTGTGGCATTCACAGACATGCTCACCGCTTTTGGGCTCGGGAAACAAGCACTGAGTGGTGGGATCACATCGTCCTGCATGTCTGGGATGATGAGCAGTGGCTGCAGAACTTTCAGATGAGAAAAGCCACTTTCATGGGACTGTGTGAGGAACTCGCCCCCACCCTGCGGCACAAGGACATGAGATTGAGAGCTGCCCTGACGTTGGAGAAGCAGGTGGCTATTGCAATCTGGAAGCTGGCAACTCCAGACAGCTACCGATCAGTCGCTAACCAGTTTGGAGTGGGGAAGTTGACTGTTGGAATCGTGTTGATGCAAGTTTGCAGGGCCATTAATTGCATCCTGCTCAGAAGAACTGTGACTCTGGGTAGCGTGCAGGACATTGTGGATGGCTTTACACAAATGGGTTTCCCTAACTGCGGAGGGGCGATAGATGGCGCACACATTCCAATTCTGGCACCAGCCCACCTAGCCTCCGAGTATGTTAATTGGAAGGGGTATTTCTCTATGGTTCTCTAGGTGCTTGTGGATCACCGTGGGCGTTTCATTGACATTAACGCAGGCTGGCCTGGAAAGGTGCATGACGCATGCATCTTTCGGAACACTGGCCTGTTCAGGAAGCTGCAAGCCAGGACTTTTTTCCCAGACCAGAAGATCACCGTAGGGGAAGTTGAAATGCCCATTGTGATCCTTGGAGACCCCGCTTACCCTTTAATGCCGTGGCTCATGAAACCCTACACAGAGAGCCTTGACAGCAGCAAGGAGTGGTTCAACAACAGGCTGAGCCGGTGCAGAATGACTGTGGAGTGTGCTTTTGGCCATTTAACGGACTGCTGGCGCTCTCTGTATGGGAAGCTGGACCCAGCCAATGACAGCATCCCCGCGGTTATATCCATGTGCTATACCCTCCATAATGTTTGTGAAGGGAAGGGTGAACAATTCACTCAGGCATGGAACTTGGAGGTTCAACACCTGGAGGCTGAATTTGAACAGGCAGAGAGCAGGGCTATTAGAGGGGCCCAGCGCGAGGCTGCAAGGATTAGGGATGCCTTGAGGGAACAATTTGAGGCTGAAAGCCACCAGTAATGTCTGGTGCCCTGCACGGGTGTGAAGTGCAATGGTTCCAATGTTAGTAGGAATCTGTGTTTGCTACGCTGACTTGCAGTGTTTCTTTCCTGGACTAAAGTATCTTTTACTTTATGCAATAATAAAGAATGTTTTCAAAGCCAAAAAATCCACTTATTGAAAAGAAAATTCATTTACTAAAAAGAAACACAACTGCCTGGGAAACAGAAAGGGCAAAGGGGTGGGGAATGGTACAATCACAGATTTGCATATGTCCTGTTATCGTACTCAGCCTTCCTGTCTGGAGTGCTGTGCAATGAGTGCTGCAGTTCAGGGTGGCTATACTGCATGGTGATGGGGGTTGAGTGCAGAGGGTGAGGGTCGTAGTTTTCAGGGCTGGGTGGTGAAGCTACAGGTGTTGGAGGCAGCTGGTGGTGGTGAGAACCCGGATGCTGGGGAAAGTGGGTTGGAGATGACATGGGGATACAAGGGAAAGAATTTTGGGACAAGGGCTGCAGGGGGGGTTGGGCACAGTAATGGCTACGAGCACCTGGATCGAGTCCGCTTGGTGCTCCATTATGCTTATCAGCTGATCCGTGTTTTGCTGCCGGAGCACTATGCTTTTGTGCCAATGCTTCTCATTCTGCTGGCGGATCTTCCTTTCACTGTCCCACCACTCCTGCACTTTGTGATTTTCATTACTTGAATGCTGCATTACTTCACGCAACATATCTTCCTTGCTTCTACGTGGCCTCTTTCTGATTCTTTGGAGTCTTTCTGCTGGTGATAACACAGATGGCTGAGATCTCAAGGTTGCCTGTAAAGGGAAAATGCAACACTTAACAGAGGCAGCATTATTCACACCAGACAGAGCAATGATTCCCCCGTACTTAAGGGCAAGCACAGTCTACACAACAGCATAATTTGCCCGTCCCAAAGCGAGCGCACATAACCCACAGGAGCCCCAAAATGGTGAGTAAGCACAGGGTCAAGTGTGACTGATTGTTTCACGGCTGTACTGTTCTCTGGGTTTCTGTGCCTTGGGGAGAGCCAACAGCAGCAGGGAGCTCCTACACTGAACACTGTCCCCACATTTTCCACAGGAGTTCATCCTGGAAGATATCTCGCTGCTGAGGGTGACCTGGGAAGCAAGGGAGGGTCTTCTACTGCAATGCGAATTCCGCCTTGGCCCATATGCAGCTTGCCAGTGTGCAGCAATGGTCCCCGTGCCCCTCACAGCACAGTGGCGTGGACAAGTTAGCCTTACTCAGACAAGGAACACAGTGGCTCTCCTGAGAAACCTGTGCAAACGCATTGCCCAAGTTCTGGATGAGACCTTTGAAGAGATCACTGAGGCCGATTACCACGATGTGAGAGAGCACATCAACGCCCTATTCCGCATGTAGGCATGCATGCAGCCCTAACCCTTCCCCCCACCAAGAGCCTGCACTGAATAACTTCCTTCCCAAAATAAAAGCCACTTACCAGGAACCTCCTCTGTTTGTCCTTCCCGAAGCACCGGCCGCTGCGACTGGCTACCTTCCTCTTGGCTTGAGAACAGCTTCTGGCTGCATGCATCTGGGGATTCTGGGATGTCTTCCTCCGCCTCAGCACCCTTGCTCCTGCTTTGCTCCTCCTCTTCCTCCCGCCTTGTTGAACTGGGCTCTGAAGTGTCCATGGTGGTACTCGGAGTGGAGGTGGGGTCTGGCCCAAGTATCGCATCCGGCTCTTTGTAGAAATGGCAGGTCACGGGCAGCACCAGAGTGGCTGTTTGCCTCATGGGCTTTGCGGTAGGCATTCCGCAGCTCCTTCACTTAACCCTGTACTGCAGTGCATCCCGCTCATAGCCCCTTTCCATCATGTCCCTTGCTATCTGCATGAAGGTATCGTAATTCCTATGGTTGGAGCGCAGCTGGGACTGGACAGCTTCCTTTCCCCAAACACTGATGAGGTCCAGCACCTTGTCGTTGCTCCATACTGGGGATCGCCTGGTGCATGGAGGCATGGTCACCTGGAAAGATTCGCTGAGAGCACTCCACGCCTGGCTGAGCAAACAGTAAGGGGATTTTCAAAATTCCCAGAGAATTTAAAGGGCGGGGTCTGACGGTTGGTCACCTGAGGGCAGGGCAGTAGAGTTCAAAGTGATGACGAGAGTGGCTAGCACAGGCATTGTGGGACACTTCTGGAGGCCGATCAGAGCGCGCTATAGGACGGGGGCGTCCACACTGGTGCAATGGCTCTCCAGCAGGGGCACAGCAAACGTTATTCCACTCACTGAGGTGGAGTACCAGCAGCACTGTTGCTGCAGAGTCAGAGCACTCTACGTGCCTTGCCAGTGTGGATGGATAGTGAGCTAGTGTTCCCGGGCTCCTTTATTGTGCTGTAACTCGCAAGTGTAGCCAAGCCCTAGAACTAGAGGAAAGCTACAACAAGAATGCTAAACAGTTATCTCCATTGTAAATGAGAGTGACTGTAAGGTTTCAAACATAAAGTGACTGTCAACTTGTAGAAGTAAGAGCAATACCTTCCTCACCAAGGTGTTACTTCTTAGTGACCCATGAAGTCCATTCTTACAGGAGGAACAGAAGACATTCAAACAAAACCAAGCACATGGTGTCTCTGTCTCTCAAGAGCATTTAGAATGCTACTGATCATGCTTGTGACCTTATGGATGTAAAGAATGCCCTCTCAGTCTCTGATGATGAAAAATACCAGGAGCAGCAAGCACAGGCTCCAGGAGGTGGAGACACCTCATGGTTGTATGGGTTATTGCAGAAGAATGGTTTTGAGTACTGAACAGACAGCTAAAGTTAAATTAACAGAGAAGAAGTGGCCATGTGATCTGAAAAAAGGTTCAGAGACAGTAGCTAACAAATGATTGCTAAGAACCAGAATAGTTCTGCCATCTGTTGGAGGGGCTTATGGTTGTCTAGCCTGACCTCCATCCTAAATATCAGTTAGTTTGTTTGGATTTGGGTTTGTTTTCTTTCTTTTACTCTTGCATTAATTTGTTGTTTTGATGTTTTTGGCTGATGTTTTATTTACAGTTGATTATTTTTTAATGGGAAGATGCAGTAGCCATTGGAGTCCTGCCTTATGACAGGAGTATAGCCTTTTGTAACAAAACTGACCTCAGTTATGTGGATGGGGACAGAAAACAGAGCCCAGTCTGTTATCAACATTTATGTGTGTGCTGCACCTTTAATACACCATCTGTCATTTATAAAATAATAGAAAATCTATCGGGGCTTTTTGTTAGGAAGGGAATTTTCCTACCCACCCACAGTCATTAGAGGTTTCGCTGGCAGCTCTGTTGCTTGCAAGAATCATCCCTGAATGTTTAAGGAGCCTTCTTTCTTTCTTCCCTGTACCAAAAATCATTGGTTGTGCCAAGAGGTAGGAAAGAGATGTGGCTTGATGGGCCCTTTCTCTTCTCCTTGGCTGAAAGGGAAACTTAAGGTGGGTTTTTAGAAGTGCTCATCATTCCCTAATTCTGCTTCCTTTAAAGTTATTCCTGTTTACTTCAGTGGGGAGCAGAGTTAGGCCACTTCTGAGTACTTTTTTTAAAAAAATCACACCCTCAGGGTACAGACAGCCTGAATTTCATTTAAAATTTATCCCAGGTTGACTGACAATGTCAATGTCAAACTCTCTATTTGATTCTGTAGCTTTCTGTAATTAGCCGTAAAATCTTATGTCAGTAAAAAAGATCTGTACTGTGTCATTGAGAAATCATTATGAAATCTTCCAAAATATATTTTTCAGAAAGTGAGAAATATTGAGGAAGGAGGATATTCTTTTTAAGCTTATAACTGAATCATTGTTTCCCTTTTTTTTTTTTTAAAAGGTGTATAGCTGTTTGCTGCCTTGGAGTTTGGATATGTGAAGAACTAGTACAGTGCACAAACCATCCTCAAGTGAGGGATGCAATAAATGTTATAGGTGTAACGCTAAAGGTATTAGTATGAATTGTGTTTGTGTGATTAACAAAGGGAACATTTGTATGGACAAGGTATTCTAGATATTTGAAATATTCATCAAGCATATGTTTAAAGTTAAGCATGTGCTTAAATACTTTTCTGACTTAGGATCAAGGTGAGCTAGTGTGCCCGGGCTCCTTTGTGTATTCTGATTATTTGGTTCTTTATGCTTACAATATTATCTGCCTGCAAGCTTGTTTTTTGAATGCTCTGGGCATTATCAGGAATTTGCTGACCATGGAACTGCTCAGTGAATTTATTTTTTTGCTTGATTGAAATTTTCTTCAGGATCTTCCACATGTTCTCCAGCTGCTCCACAGACTTGGTGAACCTGGCTTGTCTTTCACTCAATGACTATCTAAAATAGCACTGTTAGCACAGACACCGATTTTTCAAAGAACTCTAGAGCATCTAATTGGAGTACCAATGACCAGAGTGCCGGATCAGCCACAGTTTCCTAACACTCTGTCACAGGTTGCTTGATGCTGTCTTTAATATCAGTTGAGATGGAATGAATGAAACAGTTTTACTTTAATGTATTAGCAGGGGGAATGAAAGAATCATATAAAGATTATCTTATTTTTGTGTGGTACAGTTGCTTTCTGGATACAGCCTCTTCAGCTGTATTGAAGACACGTAGTGGCAAAGAAGTAGAGTTTTGTTACAGGGTGATAAGTTCCTGCAGCTGTATAAATACTGTCTAAGACAAGGCATTCATTTGAAAATAAATTTTGATGAGAGGTGGGAGACACTTGCCTAGAGATGGTGTTAAATGACTTTTCTGTCAAATAAAATGATTGGTAATTTGGTTGATGCAGGGGAGTGACGGTTATTCATTGTATCAAACTTAGGTGCAGTTATTGGAAAGTTATATTTTCTTTCGGCTTATAGAGAACAGAATGAACTTGCAGTTCTTTTAAAATAGTAAATATTTTCATTTAGTAAATATTATTAATAATTTTTCAAAATCTTACAGGTAAGGCTCAGCCATCTAAGGAAGAAGTGGAAGAAATATATTTTATTTTTAATCTTCAAATAATTCACTCATTTTTATTCAACTAGTGAGCATTTTTGAAATAATCACAGTATGATCATCTTTGTTAGCATGTGCCTTTAATTTTCATAAACATATGTGTGTTTGAAATTTCATTATGTGCATAGAGATATATTGGTCAAACAACAGAAACTTGAAAACTTCACACAAATATTGGCTCAGTGGTTTGAGCATTGGCCTGCTAAACCCAGGGTTGTGAGTTCAATCCTTGAGGGGCCATTTAGGGATCTGGGGCAAAAATCAGGGATTGGTCCTGCTTTGAGCAGGGGGTTGGACTAGATGACCTCCTGAGGGTCCGTTCCAGCCCTGATATTCTATGATTCTATGATTTAGTGCCTGTGCAGGAGACATTCTACCTGGTGTTTTCATTTTTGGGGCTACCTCCAAGAATAGGATGTTGTTACCAATCCTTGACAGTTTGCTGCAGCCTGCTAAGGCTGCTTGGTCCACTCCTGCCTCTTGCCAACCTATTTCCAAGAAAGCAGAGAAATTATATCAGCACAGGGGTTTTCATATTTGTATTCACACTTTGTACCAACTACACTGGTGGTGACTGCTGCCAGTAGTAGATTGAGGTTTGGACCCCTGTAGGTAGAGAAGGGAAAAAGATTGATTCCCTAGGGAGAACAATGTTCTCTTGGTAATAGGGTGGCAAATTACCAAACTGTTATAGCTCGATATCGGTTTCACCTGTGGGAAAAGAAGGCACTGTTTGTGCAGGATTTCCCAAATGACAAAAAGAGATTGGGAAATGCAATCCTAATGGAGGGTCAAAATGTAGCAAAGCACTCTCTCAGGACTTTATTTGATCCTTCAGATTCTTCTGCTGGATCACTGACTTCTGCAGTTACTTAGAAGAGACATGTTTGGCTTCTTTCCTCTTCTCTGACTCATCATACTACAATTAAAGTGGAGGATTTCCCCTTCAGAGGAGATGGTCTTTTCTGTGAAAAGACAGATGAGTTGCTGGAGAAGCTGAAGAAGACAAGATCTTTGTGCTTTATTACTTCTACTAGGAGACTGCCACGGGGCGACTACTCACCGCTGTGGTGCCTCCTGCTGGTTGTACAGGGAGTTAGCTCTTTTCAACCGGGAGTGCCCTCTGCCGGTCGGTGTCTCGCCTGCCACTGACCCCGTGCCCTTCCTGGACCCCGGTGCCCTTCTAGACTAGGGTTCTGCCCCCGGCAGTATCCCCCACAGTCTGGGTCTCCCCTCCCAGGGGAACCCCGAACCCCCTATCCCTTCCTTGCCTCAGTGGCTACTGTCAGTCATCGTCTAGCCCCCACTCCCTGGGGCAGACTGCAGTATTACTACTCATTATCGGCAAGGGGGATCGGACCAGCTGCCTCTGTCTAGGTCTGGGCTGCTCCTCTGCAGCCTATGTACCCTTTCGTGGGCCTTTACCTCGGCCTGCAGCCTGGGGCTCTGCTAGGCTGGAGCTCCCCAGCTTCCTCTGCCCTTCCCCAGCATTGCTTTGCCCTGGGTACCCTCCTCAGCTTCCTAGGCAGCCAGGTCCTCCTCTCTCCATGTAGATAGAGTGTGTCTCAGCTCCTGGCTAACAGCCCCCTTATAGGGCCAGCTGTGGCCTGATTGGGACGTGGCCCCACCTGTGGCTACTTCCCCCAATCAGCCTAGCTTTCCTCTGGCTACAGCCCTCTCTTAGGGCTGTTTTAAGCCCTTCAAGGCATGGTAGGGTGACCACCCTGCCACAGAGACCTTCTGTTTTTTTATTTCCATTGTCAGAGACAGTATTATCCACAGTTATCTTCAGCTTATTTCTTATCAAATCAAAGACATTGACAACAGCACCAGCAGGCTATGTATTTCCAGAGCCACCTTAAGAAAAGGTCTTTTAAATCGAGGCCCAACTCTAAGCAATCTGCAACCTTTCTGTCATCTTCATTGCACATTAGCCCTGAAATTTGATATGAGGATTGAAAGTCTAGAACCAATCAGTGAGGACCCTTCCCTTCCTGTGTTTGGAGACGTGCTAGCCCATTTTATCGTCAGATGCAGGCGTATTACACCTAAACTACCCCTTTCAATTTCCCTGGCCTTTCTCTTTTTAGAGAACCTTCTCACAAGCTAGTCTACGTTCAGACATACAGAAATTTCTTCTCATGGGGACTGTTAATGAGGTATCAGAGCACCTCCAAGATCAGGGGTTTTATTCAAGGTACTTTCTGGTGCTGACAAATGATGAGGTGGAAGGAGGGTCATTCCATTTTAGATTTAAGAGGTATAACAAGTATATTCTGAAGTTTTGGTTTCATATGTTAACTCTGGCTTCCAGAATCCCTTTGCTTTCAATTATGGATTGGGTTTGTGACTCTTGATTTAAAAGACACATTTTCATATCTCTGTTTGACACAGTCATCGACAGTACCTTAATTTTGTGGTGGTGGGACACCATTTCCAATACAAAGGGCTGTTGTTTGACCTGTCTACAGCACCAAGGGTTCTTACAAAGTACTTCTCTGTCATAGAGGCTCAATTGAGAAAGCAGGGTATTTTTTTTTTTGCCCTATTCTGATTATTGTCTGTTAAAGGCTTTTTGTGATGATTTATTAAGCCCCATTGCTTTTTTTCAGACCTGGGATTTCTCCTGAATGTCAAAAAAGTCAAATCCCTGTCCAACTCAGAAATTTTATTCATAGACTCCATATTGGATTTGGTAGTAGGGAAAGCCATTTTACCAGAGGACAGATTTTCAAAAATAGTTCAATATGTTTTATACATTCAAATATGTCAAAAAACCGAAAGTAACCACCTTTGTGGGTCTTATGGCAGCTACTACATATGTGACTCCATTTGCACAACTCACAATGAGGCCAATGCAGCTTTGGCTATCTCAGGTCTACAGACCAAATCTGGACAATCTCCAGATGTTAGTCAGCATGCCTCAAAACATTCTGGAATTATTGATGTGATGGTCAATCAGAGAAAACGTTCTCAGGGTGTCCAGTTCAATCCCCCTTCACTTTCATTGAAGATAACTTGAGATGTGTCAAACAGTGGTGGAGTAGGGCAACATCTGAGTCATCCTATAGTTCAGGGTCCCTGGACTTTTCAGAAGAGAGCTTTGCACATCAGCATGTTCTCAATTTATTTTGGACTCTGTTCCCTCCTCCAGGTTATTTTCAGTACTGCTTATCAAACTACCAATAAGTGGCCATACGCAGAGCCATTCAAAAAAAGAAATGAAGGTTGATTACTTGTAACCAGAGTTCCTCAAGAGGGCTCTGCATATTCACACTTCCCACCCAGCTTCCCCTTTTTTTCAGAGTTATTTTCGTTCTCTCCCTCTGGGTTGGCGAAAGGAACTGAGTTGGTAGAGGGCACTCCCCCTTATATAGTCTCACCTTCAGAACATTCGGTGGCACTAGGGAGTGGGCTAGGAGGGGGCACATGAGCACTTTAATAGACACAGCTTGGAGAAGGTTCTCTTGTTAAGCGCCACTAGGCAGTGCAAAACCCATAAATGTGAATATGCAGAGCCATCTCGAAGAACTCCAGTTGCAAGTAACCTTCATTTTCCTTTAATGTAGTTTTTATGGATGTAGTACCATTTAAAATAGTGGAAACTCTGACATTACTGTTTATTATATGTGAATATTTTTTTCTGGCATGATACTACCTTGTTTAATTTAATTTTTTCTCTTACAGTTTTCTAATAAACTGGTAGCCCAGATAGCCTGTGATGTTCTTCAACTGCTAGTTTCTTACTGGGAAAAGCTTCAGAAGTATGAATCCTCTCTATCCAGGAAAATTACTGAGGTATGTCTTATCTCTTCAAATACTCATGTATGGGAATTGAAAATGACACATCTGATGTTCTGTGTTGATTGTTCGTAGAATTGAAAAAGCTTCAAAGTTAACAGAGTGTCCAACTGATGCTATTTTTCACAATTGAAAGAATTGTTGCTTATCATAAATTACAGTCTTAGAATTCTAACTTTCTTTGCTTCCTTCTGCAATCATTATTAGGAGAGTTCTTTGCTTTAGTTTGCTGGAGCCAGTGTGATTTTTTTCCAATTTGCTCTAATTTATTTCTAGAATCTGCTAACAATGTGGAACTCTCAGTTTGGTTCAGATGCTATTTACAAAAATGGCTGCTAACCGCTCTTTATAGTCTTCATCCAAAGCCTATTGAAGGTCAATGGTTCAGGCCTTGTGTTTATTAAAGATACAAAATGTCTTTTTGTAATTTTGTTTGCCTTGGGTTTGGTTTTTGCGCAGATTCTTGTGGCCACCATTGCATTTCTTTTGCCAAGTGCTGAATACTCCTCTGTAGAAACAGATAAAAAGGTATGTGGCATAAAACACAAACTCCATCATTGTTTTTGCTTCTTGAACTACATATTAAAGGAAATTTATTCCTAAATCTTATTTTAAAATATTAAGCTAACATTTAAACATTTTGATGAATTTGATGAATTTGATTGCTTATGTGTTCATTTGCATGTTTCTGTTTAGTTTATAGTTTCATTATTACTTTGCTTGTTGGATTGGTGCATGGCACTACCAATGAAAACCTTACTAGAGCCAGTATCTACTGTTCTGGAAGATCAACATTCCTCCAAAGCTCCCTTACTGGATTACGTATATAGGGTGAGTATGAAGAATCGATTCAGTATGAATTGTTTTTAACAAAGTTTTTAAATGTGTAAAGATGTGTCTATTCTGGATCATTGAGGCACAGATGCATTATGGAAGCATAACTGATGATTCCATCATTTGAATTACATTGAAGTTTTTCAGTTACTGTTGTTTAAATCCATGGGTTAGTTATGAAAACAAATTAAAATTTCACCCCTAACATTTAGGGGGTAGATTTGATTTTCTGGAAAGTTACAAGTAAGTCTGCTCAGTAGCTTTGGAGCTTAAAGGAGTTAAAATGGCTCCTTTTTGAAATTTCAGGGCTGGTTTGTAGTGTTTGGGGGATCATGTTGACTTACAAATGATTATTTAAATGCTTCAATCATTGGGTGGATAAATAACTAAACAAAATAGTATGTATAGGTTAGTTTAAAAAATTAAAAAGTACAACATATTCTGAGCATTGGTTGTCATGACTCTTTCTATTACATTATAAATACCAATTTTAAAAAAAAAAGTCATTTGATGCCAAGATCTGAAATGTTACACACACAAACTCTGGAGTATAAAATTTTAAACGTTGGCAGTTTTGAGAGAAAAAAGAAAGTGCCTTGGCCAATAGATCTTAAAACACTACAGAAGCAGAGTCCTGGCTCCCAAGGAGCTTAGGAGTCCTGTCAGGGGAAGCACCTACAGTAACTCCCCACTTAATGTCCTGTCGCTTAACGTTGTTTTGATGTTACGTCCCTGCTCCATTACAGAACATGCTCCTTTAAAGTTGTGCAGTGCTCCCCTATAATGTCGTTTGGCCTCTTGCGTTGTCCATGGCTGGCAGCCCCCCCATCAGCTCCCCTGCGCCCCCCCCGTGCCTCCCGCCGGCCGGCAGACCCCACAAATCAACGCCTTCCCCCTACTCCCCCCGCTTCCTGCCTGCAGCAATCAGCTGTCTTGCGGTGTTCAAGAGGCTGGGGGGAGACGTGAGGAAGCAGCACGCCATGTCCTCGCTCCTCGCCCTGGCCTCCTAACGCCACAAACCAGCTGATTGCCGCAGGCTGGAGGCAGGGGAGGGAGGGGGGAGGAGCAAGGACGTGGTGTGCGGAGTAAGGGGGGGATGAGGTGGAGGGGGTGAAAAGAGGCAGGTTAAGGGTGGGGTTTGGCGGAAGGGGTGGAGTGGACGGGCTCAGGGTTGAGCCCCCCGCCCCTGGCAAAGTCTGTGCGTGTGCTTGCAAGAACAGCAAGAGGAGCAGCCGGACAATCCACCCTCTTCCACTCTCTAACTCCACCACATCAACTGAGCTTCATACTCAGCAATGATGATCGTAGTATTAAATTGTTTCTTTAAAATTGTTTAAAACTTATACCTGTATTAAATTTCTAATTTAAAATTGTTTAAAATGTATATGATGCCTTTTGTCTGTCAAAAAAAAAATTTCCCTGAAACCTAACCCCCTATTTACATTAATTCTTCTGGGGAAATTGGATTCGCTTAAAGTCGCATTTTTCAGGACTATAACTACAACATTAAGTGAGGAGTTACTGTATTCTAATGGCATGACTAGTAAACGTCACAAAGAAAGGAGTTCCTGTCCTGAGGACCTTAGGAGATCCATGGCAATGTTTGTCTTTCTTTCACACGTGTTTATGAGGACTGCTGGATCTGGATGAAAACTATATGCACCTCCTGCTGTCAAAGCTGTGACTGTTGAATGAGGTCCCCCTAGAGGAGGACTGTAGAATCACACACTTTTAAGACTCAAGGCCATCACTGAGGAGATAGAAGTCTACAGTTGTGTAAAGCCAGTTTCAGCTTTGTGGCCATTTCCCAATGGACAAGCACCCACTCAAAATAAAGAGCAGTCTCCATGACTGCTCGTCCTAAGACATTTGTAGAACTTATTCATTTAATGCAAATGCTAATAATAATCAAATGAAGACAAGAAGTACAGTACAACTACATATAATTAGCAACATTTTCCATAAGTAAGTTAAACATGTTTTATGAAATATCAGTACATCTTTCAAGTAAATAAAATAATCTAGTTTATAACTGATGTAATACACTTTTGAATACGTCTGCAAATGCCTGAGGGATGATATTCTATAATGACATTCCAATTTATAACAATATACCACAATAGATCTTGTCCTAATTGTGAAATTGTACTTAACAAGCATGAAGTCAGTCTTCCTTTAAAATATGCATAAACACATTTTCCAAATATAAAAATAGCATGTTGATATTGCTTTTATTTAAAATCAAGATCTGTGATGATAAATAGTTTTGTTTTCATGGCTAATATAGTAGTTTACTGATAAAAAGATAATTTGATAAGAAAAAGCATTTTCTTTCATTCTTAAAGAATCGGTGAGAATTTAACAATGGGCATCATTATTATATCAATAATATATAGTATTATTATTAATAATAATTTGCATTGTACTAGCCCAGAGGAGCCCCAGTCTTGGACCAGGGTCCCATTGTGCTATGTGCTGTACAAACACCCAAAAATGATGGTCCATGCTCCACAGAACTTACAATCTAAATATAAGACGAGAGAACAGGTAGATTCAAGAGACCGATTGGGAGAGCACCAGGAGACAGAGACAATACTGGTCAGCATAATGGGCAGCATTCTCAGCACGCCAGATGTATATGTGTTGTCAAGTTTTTAGTAGACATCACAGCAAAGAAGAGTTTTATGGAGAAGTTTACAATGTTTATGAAGGGCAGAAACACAAAGATGCTTGTTTGAAAATTTAGCAAGTGGATGATAAAGGCGGGTGTCATTGTCATAGTGGAGGCAGGAGTTAACATCTTGATAGTTTGAGAGGTAGGATAAGGATAAGCAATGAAGAACCTTAAAAGGGATGACAAGTAGAATAGTAATGGAGAAGCAAAAGCCAGTGGAGAAATGCAAAGAGAAGGGTGACTTAGTCAAAGCAATGAGCTGTGATGATAATCTTTGCAGCATTGATTTGAATTGATGCAAACAGGGTGAGATTTAATTGGTCAAGGCCAGATGGGAGAATGGTGTAAACAGAGGTTGTTGCGCTAGTCACGATACAAAATGGGGGCCTGGACTAGGGTTTTATTTTAGCAAAGTGGTGCAGGAAGAAGCAGCAAGATTTAGGGTGTGTCTAGACAGCCGACATTAAAGCTCATGGCTGTATGGTTGCAGCTCCAGCGGTGGGAGAGAGCTCTCCTAGTGTTGTAATAAAACCACCTCCACATGGGGAATAGCTACCATCTACACTGCCACACCCCTGAGCGAAGAACGTTTCAGAACTGTAAGTGGCAGTGTAGACAAGGCCTTAGACATAGCCTATATTGTAGAATATACTACAATGTGTCAGAATTTAATAGCATAGTAAATTTATCTCATCACTTTATGTCACTTGACTTGATTTTTTTTTGTACAATTTATTTCTAGTACAATTTTCATTTCTTTTCTTCTTTCAGGTGTTGCACTGTTGCGTTTATGGTTCAAGCACATATACGCAGCAAAGCCATTACATATTGAGCCTTGCAGATCTCTCATCTAATGACTATGATCCATTTTTGCCATTGGGAAATGTCAAGAATTCTGAGCCAGCACACTCCCATTCCACTCCAGATTTGGGAAATCTACTCACTGTTGTTGAAGGTAAGTAACTCCAGAGAAAATAACTTGAATATTGCTAGGATTTCAACATTAACAATATGAGGATTTAATAACCTACTAGGTGGCATTTCTTCGTTGAAAAACATGCTTGCACAGGTAACGCTGAATAATTCTACAGGTGTTTTACAGGGAAGGCCATGTGGTTCAACGCATTCATAGTCTGGAGTTCACTTACGTTAGTGTGTTCAGTATATTAGGAGAATACCAGTGAGGAACCAGAAAATTTCAGACACTTCTTGATGCTTACTAAAATGTGTCAAAACCAGAATTTCTTTGTAGAAAAGATAACAGACTTGCATAAATTATGACTGCAAATACGTCAAAAGAAAACATAAAGACATCGTCAATACGACTCCAAACGTTAAATGTTTACCTCAAGAGCCCTCTTTTGGAAGGGAAAACCATCAGCTAGTTAACCACATAGGGAAGTTGATATACTGTTTTGAAAAGAGAGAGAGCTGGGAACTCCTAACACATTTCAGCTAGAATGGCAAGAGAGTAAATATTTGTCCCAGTTAAGAAGTCTAATTGAAATTCTCATTTGGAGTCTAGAAGGATAGTAGTATTGAGGTAACGTATATAAAAAATGTTAGTTGTGCATATGCTTTCTATGTTAATTTTAGTTGTTTAGTGATGTATGACAGAGAAGATGACCTTATCTATTGATTCAAATGTAATTTACATAAAAATTCTGAGTTTAGATTGAATTCAAATCCTCAGATATATAAGAGTTCGTAATAATAAAAGCAGGGTTCTGTTGTACAACAGTTTGGGGCTAAATTCAAGACAGCTCTGTTTCTGCTGCTTGTCAGAGCATCTTGAAAACTTCCCAAAGCCATTAATAGACTGCAGATATGTGGTATGGAATTCTTAGGATCTCGCAACCTCACAAGATCATTGGAGGAGATGGTGTGATGGGATAGCATGATTTTGGTAATTAATTGATCTTTAAATATTCATGGTAAATAGGCCTAATGGCCTGTGATGGGATGTTAGATGGGGTGGGATCTGAGTTACTACAGAAAATTCTTTCCTGGGTATCTGGCTGGTGAATCTTGCCCATACGCTCAGGGTTTAGCTGATTGCCATATTTGGGGTCGGGAAGGAATTTTCCTCCAGGGCAGATTGGAAGAAGCCCTGGAGGTTTTTCGCCTTCCTCTGTAGCATGGGGCATGGGTCACTTGCTGGAGGATTCTCTGCACCTTGAAGTCGTTAAACCACGATTTGAGGACTTCAATAGCTCACACATAGGTGAGAGGTTTTTCGCGGGAGTGGGTAGGTGAGATTCTGTGGCCTGCGTTGTGCAGGAGGTCAGACTAGATGATCATAATGGTCCCTTCTGACCTTAGTATCTATGAACAAAGAAGAAAATGTCACTTCTCCCATGTGCCTTTTCTATAGTGAGAAAGTCATAGATATGATGGTATTGGGTAATCACTTTTGCTTGTGGTTACATATACAGAATTAAAACTATGAATAAAATTAACTCCAAATCAAATCCTTTTGAGAACTGTGTGGCTAGTCCATTGTGTACCTTGTTTGAACACCTTTTTTGCTTTATGGGAAGCTAAACAAGTACGTAGTCATGAGTGATCTGATGTTGATGGAATAATATGAAAACTCTCCAAACAGCAGTGGCTCTTCACTTTTTACTAAGAATGACTTTAACTTTGTAAATATTGGTTTCAAGGAGAGTCTCACTAGGAACTTTTGAGAGCAGAACTTGGACCTTATCTGATTGGACCTGATCTGATTTATTGAAAACCAAAACATGTCATCCATAGACTCTGGCAGGCTCAATGGTATAAAATTCTAGTAAAAAACTGTAAACATGCAAAAACAACAAGGAGTCCTTGTGGCAACTTAAGAGACTAAGAAATTTATTTGGGCATAAGCTTTCATGGGCTAAAACCCACTTCATCAGGTGCATAGAGTTGAAAATACAGTAAAGAGCTATAAATACACAGCATATGAAAAGATGGGAGTTGCCTTACCAAGTGAGGGGTCAGTGCTAATGAGCCAATTCAGTTAAGGTGGAAGTGGGCTATTCTCAACAGGAAGGGGTAGAAATCACTTTTGTCGTGCTAATGAGGCCAGTGTAATCAGGGTGGCCCATTTCAATCATGCAGCATTTCTCGGGGATTGTTGCAAGAAAAACTCCTGTGATTGTAATACATAAAATGGCCAAATAACATTTTGTAGATGAGAGAGAGAAAGACACATCTCTCACAATATTTTATAGTGAATTCAGTTCTATGTCTGTCACATGATTTGATTCACCCATTACAAAAAAAATCAACTGCTAGAAGGATGTATTCACTAAGGGAAAACATCTATTTATGTATCTTGGTGAATATCATTAATTCAAGCATTAGATTAAGAATAACTTCCAGAGTACAATATTGTTCTAAAAACTTTATGTAAATCATTTCACAGAAATATTTTTTTACACAGGATTCAGAAACAGATGCAGTATAAGGATGTGCAAAATAATGCTAGACTTTCTATGCTACTTTGAAATACAGTTCTTTCTGTATTTCATGCTGGAACAAATTTTCATCACGACAGCATGTTTTCTTTTTACTTCCCTTGTACCTGCATTTTTAGTTTAACGAAAAGGTTAGAGGCATTAAAACCAATTGCTCTGCACACACTTCTTTCTGAGTGGGTACATTTTGTGAAGAGCAGAAAGATAAAAATAGACGTGAGAGAGATTTGTCATTTTAGGTAGAACAAAATGTTTTTCATCTTGGATATGTTTGTGCCTTGTACACTCTTCTATTTTACTGTCATGCTATTTTCAGACTAATGTTAAAAAGGGATTCTTCCTGCTTTTTTTATTTTTGTTATTTACATATGCCTTTTACCTATCACATTATTCATCACTCATTATAGCTAGCTACAACAATACAATAGGTTTAATCAGGTCAGAGAAAAGAGGAAACACATTACAGTAACAGCTGCTATAGTAGCAACAGGCATTGTAGAAGCAATACTGAGTGTGTATTTTAATTCAAAATATCATAATAGTGTAGGCAAAAAGCAGATTATTAATTTTGCAAGGTAACTATCCAGGATAATTAAAATAAGTTAAATACAAAAAGTTAATTGTTACAAGATCAATTAAAATTAATAAAGCTTTCTGCTATTTGCTTCTCCCACTTCTTTAATATTCTCCGCATCCACAAGAAAATTAGACATACTCCCCAACAATATGGAAATCTGACAGCTTGAAATCACTGTCACTATTTTTATATTAATGAAAACTTCAACATTAGGAATGTTAAACATATTTATTCTAAAAACCAAAGGTTATGCAGTAAACTGGACATTTTTTTCTCCCTTGTGATTGGATCTTCTGGGCGCTTTTTTGTGTTTGTTGTATAACCAGCAAGCACTGGAGTAATGCCCACCCCCTTCAGCTTTCTTCTGTTTGGCCCTTCAGCTTCTAACCTCGTGTTTACCCACTATTGCATAATGACAACACACCTCGCTGGGATAGAATACCTTTGTTCATACTCCTTGACTGAGACTGAGAGGGGAGTGTGTAGGTTCCAGAGCCTCTTTACCCTTCAGCACTTCTTCTTGGAGGTGGTAAGGGTTTTCTTCTCTTTGAGGGCAGACTGCATGAAACTACCCATACAACAATAATCATAACAAAAACAAGGTTTATTAAAAACAGAGAGAAATAGAATTGCAGCAAGAGAAATAGTTTGCTTAACATATCTAGATTTTTAATTCTCATAAACTAGGTAAGGCATTTTCAGCTTAGTTACAGCTCGTGAAAGCAGTCCTCTGTATCTAACCACTTTGGTCCTTGTCTCAGCACTGCTCTGCTCACTGTCAGTACCAAGATCCTTGATCCAGGGCAGATATCTCCACTTTTCAAACCAGTTTTCTCTGCCTCAGTCACACACACAGTAGGGTACCAGATTCATGGCTCATCTTGCAGGAAGTAGCCCACTGAGGAGAGGATGACTATTGAACAATAAAAGCTTAATGACCTAGCTCAGATGCCAACTTTCACAGACCTGGTTGTATCTTGTTTTGGTTGGGGCCCTAGTTAAAAGCCCTTAGGCAAGTTTTTTGTTCTTTTGTCATGAACTATGAATTATGGACAGAGGCCTGGACACTATTTCACAGCCTGATTCAGCTGACTTTTACAGACACTGATATCCTGTTGCAGTGTTGGGATGAACTTGAAGCCTGTTAGGTGATTGATTATGCCCCAGCGAAAGAAATGCTGAATATCTGAATAAGAACTTGAGTACTTGTGGCACCTTAGAGACTAACCAATTTATTTGAGCATGAGCTTTCGTGAGCAACAGCTCACTTCATCAGATGCATACCGTGGAAACTGCAGCAGACTTTATATAACTTGGAGATAGTCATCTTTCTGTGTAGAGAATGAGGGAGTTAAAAATACACTTAATGTCTTATGCACCTCAGTATATCAGTTTGATAGTATCCTGTTTGAATGCAAGTTAAATCAAAGGATGCTGTAAGGGCAGAACCAACGGGGAAACTGCAAGGAATAGCAAGGGTCCTTTGGGAAACTGTAGGGAAATGGGAAATAACCCCTGGCTTAGTGCCCACTAGGTTGGCAAAGTTTACTCTTCCAAGGCCAAACTTAGGATCAAAATGTACACTAAAACCTTAACTATGCTGGCCTAGACTGGAAGGGGAGTGCAGGTTTGAGTGGGGTGTCCGTAGCAGCTGGAGTTGTGTTCATCACACACACACACACAGAGAGAGAGAGAGAGAGAGAGTGAGCATGCTTCTGCAGCAATGCAGACTGTCTCTACCAGCCCAGAGATGGGCGTAACTGGGCTGACTGGAACTTATTACAACCTGCAAGGAAAGATCAGGGTTTAGATAACGGGAAATATGCATATAGACCTTTATCATTTTAAACTTTGATTCTTGTTGCTAGGTACCTCTGGCTGAAAAAATAAATAATGCTTTGTTCTAAAGAAGCTATTTCTGTGTCACTTCAAACTTATTTTGTCACAGTTTTCCAGAGGAAATGGTCTTGCAGGTGCCAAACCCGCATGCCAAGTTGGGCCTGTCAGGTTAACACAGTTGGTAAGGGAGCTGTAACTCAGAATCTAGTCCAAGAATGCTAGGATGATGTGGTTCCACCCAAAGTGACTTGCAGGAATCCAGGCTGGTCACCTGGGAGATGCACTGAAGAGGGACTGAAAGGGGTCTAAATCACAGCTCGCCCTGTAATGGTGATGATGATGATGATCTAGATTATGAACTTGTTTGGACCATAAATTCATTCTAAAGAGTATGTAACACAGCTAAGAAGTCATGATAAGATGTCAAATAAGATGAAAGTAAGCTGTTGCTAGTACGCTATGGCTGGGTTCATTGCTCTGTGACTCCCTTCTGACAACAAAAATCACGACACAACCCCAGGAGCGGGGACTGAAGCCAGAGCCCCCCCAAACCCCACCAAAGCCTGAGCCCCACCACCTCAGGCGGGAGGGACCAAAGCCCAAGGGCCCCAGCCTCAGGCTGGGGGTTGGGGCCTGTAACCTGAGCCCCACCACCGGGGGCTGAAGCCCTTGGGCTTGGGCCCTGGGCGGTGGGGCTCAGGCTTCAGCTTCTACCCCAGCAAGTCTAATGCCACTGGCAACCCCATTAAAATGGGGTTGTGACCCACTTTGGGGTCCCAACCCACAGTTTGAGAACTATGGTATTCAAGATTTAATGAGACTTTAGACTGGAGTAGCAGCAAAGAACATCTGAAAACAATCATCTGTGTGTTGTGTGTCTGTCTTTGCAGATGTAAAGCACGGTATACATGTTAAGTATTGTTTATTAAGAGGCTTGTCAGTGCTCAGCCCGTAGGAAGGAGGAAACACCTGACAACACTTGTGTAACCTCTTTTTGCAGATGAATGGAATATCATTGATTAGGTCCAGAAAGAGCTGTTTCCAGCCCATTGTGACAGAATGCAGGCAGCTGTTTTCTGTCTTTGATGGTAGACAGGGGCAGTAAAATTAAGTGTTCTTGAAGATTCCACTCTTTCAAAAAAAAAAAAAAAAAAAAAAAAAAAAAAAGGAGGAGGGGGAAATCAGGGGGTTTGTGAAATACAGCTTACACAGACATGAAGAAAAGCTGTGTGTAAGCTGAAAAGCTTGTCTCTCTCACCGAAATAAGTTGATCTAATAAAAGATATTTCCTCACCCACCTTGTCTCTCTAGTATCCTGGGACCAGCACGACCACACCAATATTTCATCAGTGTTGTTTTACATCAAATTTGGCAGTATACAGAGAGAATTCATGATTGCGACTCACCTAGCAAGGAAAACTAGTGCTGTCATGGCAAATAGACAAATGCTTTATGATTGATCAGGAAGTGATACATCAGCTCTGCCTCATTAGATTACAACAATTATTATGTTATAACAATCCATGTCCCACTAACCCCTCTTTTTGTCCAGTGATAGTGGTGGTTATTAACAGACCACTTCACCTTGAATGGGGCCTTAGAATATATGTTAACTGCTTATGTTAAACAATCTGTTTCACCTTCTATTCAGCTGTGACACTCTGAGTAACTTTCCAAGACCTGAAGAAGTGCTCTTTGTAGCTCGAAAGCTTCTCTCTCTCTCTCACCCACAGAAGTTGGTCCAATAATAAATGTAACCACTTTCACAGGATGTCATTGTAGTCTTATACCCAGATAACTACATTTTGAGGGAGATGTGAATTAGAATAACTGTAAAATACCCAAAAGAGAATTTTGAAATCTAAAGATTATTTGAAAAGGAATATAAAGTGGGTTTTTTATTATTATTATTATTATTTAAAAATGTTTCTTTAATGGAAAAATAGATGGCTTTAAAAGAAAAAAAAATCAAAACAGCCTTATAACCTGCCATGGACTATATATTGATTGAAATGTGTGGGTGTTCATTTTAATTACTCTTTGCTGCTGTGGTTGATTATTATCTTTGTATTGATTGATTTTTAGAAAAAAAAAGAAGAAGCTTGGAATTAATACCTCTAACTGCACGGATGGTTATGACACATCTAGTAAACCACTTAAGTCACTATCCCCTCAGTGGAGGACCTGCCATTCTTCACAGCCTTATTAGTGAGAATCATGACAACTTTTATGTGGAATCTTCTGAGCTGTCTTCAGAAGTCTTCAGAAGTCCAAACTTGCAATTATTTGTATTTAATGACAGTACTCTTATATCTTACCTTCAAATTCCTGCAGAAATGACTGTGGATACTGAGCCAGCAGGAGTCCTCTCAGATGTAAGAGTAATTGTCAGAGATATCTCAGGGAAATATTCTTGGGATGGCACGATATTATACGGACCTTTGGAAGGCTGTCTAGCACGTCAGACTGAAAATAATTCATTTGTGGTTTTGGGCAGTCATGAAGGGCAATTTGAGGCCCAGGCAGAATTTTCTCAAACAGAAGAAGGAGAGGATGCTCTTAATGAATTGCTAGAAAAGATTGGTAACACTAGTCCTGAATGCCTTTTACATCCACAGCTAAAATTAAATGAGCCATCACCACCACCATTTGGTATGAGCCATGTTCAAGAGAATGAGATCATAGAAGCCATAATAAGGCAGAGTGCCCAAGAAAACGAGCATGTACGTAAATGCAGTTCTGATCTTGATATGAACATAGCGAGTGAAGAAGAACCAAGTTCTGCTGAACCACAAGCACCATTTTATTTCTGTAGGCTGTTGCTAAACGACTTAGGAATGAATTCTTGGGATAGAAGGTAAGCGTGTATCTATGAATATATGCTTGTAATGCTGCTGCTATCTCACAAAGCTGAAGAAGTCTTCAGTTTCCCTGTGCTATACTGCCACAATTGTGATTTACAAAGATGCTCATGCTGGTGTCCCCTTGTACTAATCAGATGGAGCCACTGGCATAGCATTCTCGAAGAGAAGGGTCCCTGGGTCTGAAATGGCCCACTTTGATTAGCTTCAGGATAGGCTGAAAAATACCTTTGTTTCCTCAAATATTGAAAAAAAGAGAGAGAACTGTGAGGTTGGTTAGTAGTTGGGGAAAGAGCATTTTTCAGTGTTTTGCTGGTTGGGGGTATAAAGGACAGAACTGATGCAGTTTAGTCATAATGCATGGAATTTTTTAATGTATATTTTAAGTCATCCTTTTATTTAGCTGTGTGAATTATGAAACTCATGACATATATTCTATGATGCATTTTCCCTTAAATCTTTGTTTTATGTATCTATAGAAAAAGCTTTCATCTACTTAAGAAAAATTCTAAATTATTGAGAGAGTTGAAAAATCTGGACTCCCGTCAATGGTAAGTGAAACTTACTCAACAGTTCTAATGTTAAAGGCCACATTTTCAAGGGAGGGCACCACAACAGCATTCCCAAAACTAATCATTCCCAGAAGAAGTTGCCTGTGTTAGCAATGTAAATACCTGTTGTTGTGTATTCAATTCAATATATTGAGTTTTTGGTGAGAGAATCAGTAAATCAGCCTATTACTGTTTTCCCCATGCTTTCAGTCCATTTGGGTGACACCCTCTTCACAAGTGTGAAATGAAAAGGTTTCTTGGTTGTTGTTTTTTAGCTGGAGTGAGCAAATTACTTTTGGTGCCACTATGTATGAGACTGAATATAAGTAGCAGGATTTTTGTTTAAGGAGTCATATATATTTCTGTTTTCATGTCAGTGTCCATAATGACATAGGTGAAAGGAGCTATTCTGAATGTATATTAACCAAGGAATATTTTCCCAAAGAAGAATTTTCTTCAAAATGATTCATATGACAATAGCAGTCCTCTAAAGAGCAAGCTCAAACCCATCTCTTTAGAACTAGGCAATGGCAGAATAGAGTTCTGAATGTTGTGTACTATTTGCCATTACTTAAAATGTGATTTTTTTCTTTGAAAAATGACTGTAAAGATAGCATTGTGGGGCATTATTGTGTCCCAATAATTTTCATAACAAATATGCTCAGTTTACCCCCCAAAAAACCCTTTTTTACACACCTGGGTTTGTCAGACTCAGCTTGGGTTCTGAAAGTCCATGAATGTTTTTTCCTTCTTCTACATCAGTAATTAAGATTCTACAGGCCAAATTATGCCCTCATTAATACCTGGGCAACTCTTCAGTGAGGTTGCACAGATGTGAGTGTTTAATCCTGTAATTGTAATTAGGTAATCAATTTTTTGCTGATGCACAAAAAGAATAGAATCCAGTTCACTCTCCCCTATGGTGTTGACTCTTCAGTGTAATCAGAAGTAAAACATGATAAAAATTAGTTTTTGCCACTTAAGTAGGACATGACTGTATTCCTACAAGGATCAGATCTGTTGCGTAAAATGGTGTGATTTTTATATAGTCACATTTCAGAGTACACTGCTCTTAATTTGAAGAAAAATTAATTGAACTAACAAGTTGTTCTTCAAGTTATGGTCCCTATGTATATTCCACATGTGGGGTACACATGCTTGCCATGCGCCCAAGTTCGGAAGTTTTTCAAAGCAGTGTCCATTGGTCCATACAAGTGCAGGAGCTCTCCTTGTGTTCTTGACCAGTGTTATAAAAGACAGTGAGGGTTGACGTCTCTCCAGTTCCCTCTTACCACCGCATGGCCTGAGTCGGACTCTTGTCCTCCTTCACTTTGTTGTATAATCTATTTGTATATAGTTATATTCTTAGGTTAGTAGTTAAAAAGTTATAATATAGTATCGAGTATTTCTTTTTCTCCAGTTGGGGATCCCCTCCGCCAGCTCTGGGACTGTGCCCCAAAGTCCTGCAATTCAAAAATCGTATCTCCTGCCCTTAATCCTTCTCCATCTGTCATGAACATCAACTATGCTTGTACTCTTTGGGTGAGGCGCATATCTCTGCAAAGTGCAATATTTGCTGCTTCTTCCCACCCAGAACTCAAGAAGCCTGGGAGCTTCTCCTACAGAAGCACCTGATGGAGAAAGTTATGGGGCCCCTCTCCGATCCAGACCAGGGAGACCATCCTCACCTACCTAGCATGTGCCTTGGAGTAGTGCCGTCAACATCGAAACCCAAGGACGACTCTTCTCGGGCTCCTCATGAGCGTAGAGGGCACTCTCATGAGTGCAAGGACAGATCCCTGTTGAGGACTGTCTGTAAGAAACGCATTTCCTCACCAAGCCAGTCTGGGTTGTGTGAGATGTCGCAAACGGAACCTAAGGAGCCAGCTCCAATGAAGTCCCCCAGATCTGAGGGCAAGATACATAGAAAGAAAGGTCCGCCAATTCTGTCAGTCACCCTGGTACCAAAGCATAAGAACGGACACTTGCCAGTTCTGTCTGAGTTCTGCTCCAAATCCATCATTGGTACCACTTCGTCCATCTAAAGACTATCCAGTTGTTGTTGATGTGTTGGATCCATCAGACTTAACTGCAGGAACCCATCAGACATCGGGGCATACCAAGACTTATATAATATCGGAGGATATATTCCTCCTTATCCTCAGTCTCCACTTCTTTCTGGCCCAGCCCTCCTGAAGCAGGGGTTCTCAATCTTTTTCTTTCTGAGCGCCCCCCGCTACCAACATGCAATAAAAACTCCACAACCCACCAGTGCCACAACTGCTTTTCTGCATACAAAAGCCAGTGCCAGCCCGGCATTAGGGGATAGCAAGCAGGGCAGTTGCCTGGGGCCCCATGCCACAGGGGCCCCAACAAAGCTACATTGCTCAGGCTTCAGCTTCAGCCCCGGGTGGCAGGGTTCAGGGCCCCAGGCTTCAGCCTCAGGTGGTGGGGCTTCGGCTTTCTGCCCTGGGCTCCAGCGAGTCTAATTCTGGCCCGGCTTCACAGACCCCCTGAAATCTGCTCACGGCCCCCTAGTTGAGAACCACTGTCCTAAAAGATATCCTTACTCGGGAGGAGGACTTTACATCGCTGTCCCAGGAGCTCTCTCACCTCCAACCATCAGGAATGCCCTGGTACTGATGGCACTGCCACTACCAATGCAGCTGTTCTTGGACTTGGATGAATCAGAGGAGATGGCCATACCATTGCCTCCATAGAGGCACTCAAGCCCGATAGACAGTCAAGAGGTTATACTCACCATTCTCCCTTGTACAACTTCCCCAGGGACTGCTGAAACTGATTTCCTTGGGGTCCCCTGCAACCAATTGATCCCTCTTTCTAGCCTCATTGGAGTCCATTGAATCTTTATGGAAGGTGTCCTAGCCCCTCTCAGGAGTTGTACTGCTTCTCTCCCTCTCTCCAGCCAGTTCTGTCAGTGTAAGAGGAGGAAGAGGTGGAACCAAATCAGCAGGTACCAACAGTTCCAATGGGTACCTCTTCGTCATTCCCATATGAAGCAGTCACTCCTTCTCCGCCAAATGACGATTGCCATTACCAGGAGCTATTACAAAGAGTGGCCAGTTACTACAAATCCCTTTAGAGGAGGTCCAGGACCCTCAACACCAGCTCTTGGACATCTTAGAGTCTCAAGGACCAAGTAAGGTGACTTTACCCATCAATGAGGCCATATTAGAACCAGGTAGTGCAGCAGGTACTGCTGGATTGAAGTAAGAGGAAGAACTGGAGAAGCGTCAATATTCACTGCCTCACATCTTCTGTTGGGAGCATGAGAGCTACTGTGCACGTGCAGGCCAACAGGCATTGCTCTGAGGAACTTCTAGACTTGGGCATATGGCGCACATGTGTGCCCCATGCGTGGACTATGGTTAGGGACCACACATCTCAAAGAACCTCCAGTTACAGTAAGTAACCTCCACATTTTAAAATGAACTTAGATTTCTTGTTACCTCTAATTGCAGCCGTGAAACTCACAAGATTGCAGTGTTTTACATTGCAGAAGGACAAGAGGACAAATGCTCAATATTGTCCAATGCAAGAGGAAGCCAACCATATGAAGATTTTGTTGCTGGATTGGGCTGGGAGGTAATAGTAGCAAACTTAAAATGTTTTTGTAGGGTTGTTGAAATCAACATTTTTAAAATGGGTAAATTGTATATTAGCTACGCATATTTTAATTTTCAAAACCAGAGAAATAATTTTAACTTACTGCATGATATTTGGTAGAAGTTCATTTAAAAAAATGCTGAGCAATATACAAAGCAGAATCCTGACAGTCCATATGTTAAGCACTCCCTGCCACATGTAAACTGTGAAATATTTTAGAAAATAGTTTCTAAAAAAAGGAGGCTAAAAGTACTAATTTCAATTGTTTATTTTTATATATTTGTATTTTAATAGTTTATTCAATTGTGAAATATTTCTTACCATCAGGTGTTTCAGGGAGCTGAGCTCAGGGCAGCAACCTAAATGCAACTTTCCATTAACTTTTTTTTTTTTTAAAAAAAGAGAAAGAGAGAGAAATTTGCTTTAAATTATTAGAGGAATTACTGTAGGAGCAGCTTGTGTTACATTTGACATGTTTCAGAACAAAACAAGTTTTCTCCTGTTTCCCGTAGGTCAGGCCAGACAGTGGTTTGTTGTTACAAAGCCCTAGAGTTTGGTCTTGCCATTGACCCCCAGATTTCCATCAAAGTGATGGTGATGTTAACTGTTACTCATTAGTGGGAGAACCTCTTTACACATCTTTCTGTGGAAGACCTACTCATCTGAGCCACATTCTGAGACCAGATATTCCAAGAGGTATTGTCCGATCCTTACTATAATCCCAGAGCGAAGTTATAGTCCAAGAAATCCTTTACCCCTACCCTGACTCAGTATTTACTGAGGCAAGCTGTTCTTCCTAGAGCCTTGAGTCACTAGGCTTTCAGGGATCAGATCTCTGCTCTTGCAGAGGCCTACCTCAAAGTTCATGTTGCTCTGCCTAGAAAGCTTGCATACTACAAAGACTAGCACTCAATAAACAACTTCAATAAATAGATCCATCTATTTATGGGCTCACTTCCACAAGTACTCTCTTCAGCTCTGACTCATGAGATTTCTGTACCCATTAGAGCTACTCTCTCTTCCACTAGACCTGAACTTATCCCTGGGCTGTTGACTGTGAAAGGATATTCTCTACTATGGGTCATCTGTAGCTTCTTGACCTGTACTGCTCACTTTTGTCACAAAGTAGCATAAGGCTGCTAGATTAAATCAGAGAGCTCCTAACTGCCTGGGAACTAAGGACCTGATTTTCAGAGGTGTTGAGAACCCACTGTTCCAGTGGAATTGAATGAGAGCTGTAGATGCTTAGCACCTCTGAAACTAAGGCCACTGGCCAGAGTAGTTTGTCCTTCATTTCAGCTGTGATCTAAAGGGCAAAGTGATGAAGATGAACTTAACCATGGTCACTTGCATAGTCAGCCTTCATGGCATTAAAAAAACCTGGAAAATAATGAAAAGCATGTTATGTCTTTCTATGGGTAGAGAGAAATCTAATCACCCTCTTTGCCATTCACATAGTCTCAAAAAAGGAATTGCAGAACAGACTGGCTAATCCTCCGTCAGATCCATTAAGGGGAACCACAGCTCTAGGTATTCTCCTTATATGACAGCTATGGGCATTTACCCCACAGGGACATAAACATTATACCAGGAAATGGGAAGGTACAGAAGCTCCTCTTTTGCTGTCCACCTTTTGAATGAGGATGATGCTCTTGAGGTTGATGCCTTGTACCACCTATACGCTAGAGGTAGTACGTCTTTTCTCTTTCCCTGCTAATGGAAAAGTTACATTAGAAGGTATTGAGATCTTAGGCTAGTGGCATCCCAGTATTCTTCATTTGATCCAGGGCACCTTGGTGCAGTATATCACCTCATCCATTCAGGGTATGTGTCTGCTGCAGCTGGAAGTGTGCCTTCCAGCTCAAATAGACAGACGTGTGTTAGCACAGGTGAGCTAGAGTGCTAAAACTAGCAATGAGAAAGGCCAGTGGAATCTCAACCCAGAAGTGGCCCTATTCCATAAAGAAAATTATGGTCAGAAAATGACTCCAAAAATGGAATCCTCTTCTTCAACAGAGCTGCTCCATGTCTTTCCTCTTACTCTCCTTGCGTCAGTGAGAAAAGTACATGTTTACAGCTGTTTACTGTTAGCCCTGCAGAGCCACTGCAGCAAGGGGAAGAGTGAGCTGGATTCTGTTCTGGATCACATACCATCAAGAGGATTGTTAATTAAGGTCCAACTGCATGGCCATATTCTGTCTTCATGTACGCTGTGCAATCCTATTGAGGTGCAACTGAAGGCAGAATTTGACCTCGGGGATCCATAATGCTAGTGATAATGCATGAAACAGTAAAAAGAACCTTGCTTAGCTTTCAGCTCAGAGGCTGAGTCTGCATGGCTAACAGAAAAAAACAACTTTTGACATGTAAGGTAAGCAAATTTGAACCATTTCTTTTTAGATCAGAACCAAAGGCAATAAGGCAATAAACAAGCCAAGGCTCTGGTCCCTTCCCATCTGTTTATACTCCCTTTCGATCTGAACCTGGTCTCGTATGTCCTCCTGTGTTTTCTCTTCAAGCCTGTAAGACAAGTCTCCAAAAGATTCTCCACCCTTCAGACAATTTTTCTAGAGGCCATCAGTTCAGCTAAGAGAATGGAAGATTTTCAGGCCCTTCCCTTCAAAGATCTTTACTGAATCTTTAATCAAAATGCAATGATAACCAAATTGGCCGCTCACTAATTCCTTTCCCATGATCCTTTCCCTGACAGATTGGCTGAAGAGAGTCCTTCCTTTTCTCTGTTCCTCTCTAAATAATGAGAATTACTGCATACCTTTAATGTAAAGAAGAAACTGGGGGTCATGCTTAAAAAAGCCCTAGAAGCAGTCATCTGACATTTTGTTCATCTTACAGCAGTAGAGGGAGTTGAAGGACTTAATTGCCAGATACACCTATGAGTCATTCTCTCACCTCTGTGGTCTAAAGCAGGTATCACCTTCCAACCATCAGAGCCCACTTTAACAGGGTTTTAGCCATCTTACAGGCAGAAAGAGAGATGCCTTCCTTCTAGAACTCTGCAGGGCTGTAACCTAGGCATTCCTACATCATTTCTCTTGCCACTGCTACTTTGGCATGCCTGCAAGGAAGCCCTTTATAATATGGTCTGTTGATTGTTGTTACAGTAATGCCTATAGTGATATTGCCATTAAAGTTCCCACTGTCTGCACTGATCCATAGGATATAAGAGAAAACAGATAGTTCTCTTGCTCTAATTTTAGCTTCTCTTACTTTTTAATGGGTCAGCCCAGATTGCTGAACTGTGGAGTGGAAACTTTGACTTCCCTTTGCCTAAAAGTGGGGTTTTACAGTTATAAAGGTTTTTTAAGACTGAAGCAGTAGTGAGCATGTGCCCTTTTAGATATTCATATTTTTTACTAACTTGTAATGGTAACTGCACTTAGCAAGAGAGGCTCTTCATTTCACCTATGTTTCCCTGTTCGTGTTTTCTCTGTATTTGACACTGATTTTTAATTAAGGGTGCATAGGTGTGGTTCGTTACTCTGAGGTTTCTTGAACTGATTTGCTCAAACAGAATTAGTCAGAATAAAGGAGCATAGTGTTACAGAATTATTTTGATCCCTCTTGTCATTTGGTAGTAGAAACATAGAATACCACTTGTCTGTAATGACCCACTAAAGACTAAAAGAAACTATATTAACAGGTAAGCAAATCACCTTGTCTCCATTATGACTGTCTAGTTATTAGTTTTAGAGATATTTCTTTTTAGCAGCTTACAGAAACGGAAAGCTGGTGTATCCTAAAATGTTGTGCAAAGACCCCACACACACACACACACGCAGAAAATTAAAGCCTTAACACTTTAAATATACATACACACACAGAGTTGACTATGCTATAATATCCTTTAAATGTGGCTCAGTAAGGAGAAGGTTTTTTCCTTGTTGTTTCCCCTTTTATATCAATAAGGTTGATCTTTCAACACATTGTGGATTTATGGGTGGTCTGCAACGTAATGGCAGCACAGGACAAACAGCACCGTATTACGCTACCTCTACTGTGGAAGTCATTTTTCATGTGTCCACAAGAATGCCGTCAGATTCTGATGATTCACTGACCAAAAAGGTAACTCATTTATATCATTTACTATGATAGAAATTTCTAAGATATTATTAGTACATTATTTTGAAATATAGGAGTTAATCTTCATATGCTCAAATCAAAATTTGTATGGAACATAAATTGTACTATGTATGCAAGCCCCTCTTTATTCTGCAGCACATGGGAGTTAAATTCTGCAACTAGATTCCCCGAATGCAGTGCCTTGTGAACATTGGATTCTGCATTTCCATGGCAGCATCAAATACCATTATTAGTAATAATAATAACAATCATTTTATTTCATTTGCCTCACTGTCAAAACCTTCAGAGTTCAGTACAATAGAATAAAAACACATGCAATATAATGTGATAAAATATCATTCTCTTAAAGTACAAACATGGATGAATAAATGAGCAATCGAGTCTAATAAAGGAAAAGAAAGGGAGTGAAAGAAAAGTGATGAGTTATAGTAACAAAAATCACCAACCGACTTCAATTTAAAACCATAATTTGATCATTCACAATCCTGACAAGTAGTCTCAGCTTCAAAGGATGGCCAGAACCCAGACGGAAACCAGCTCAGAATTTTGTTGATATCCAGCTACTTATTTGTTTAAGATTGAGCAGTAACTGGTGGGCACTCCAGAAGATCAGAGATATTTTGGACAGTTGGCAAACTTCTGCATGGTTTAAGGATGGTCAGCACCCTACCCTCGTAAAGTGAATTGTTAAGATCTATCAGTAATGGAACCATAGCTACCTCATTTGCTTTAAAATACGGTTGTGCCCTGAGAAATAACTGTAAAATGTCATTGTGAGGTGCCATATTCATTGTCATGTTGATTTCCATATCACATTTGCTTAGTTAACATTAGAAAGATGGAATTTCTGACTACTCGCCCTGCAAACTCACCCTATTTTTTGATAGTCAAGCTGTGTCTTTTCCTTTTCCCATAATATTTGTAATAAAGATCCTGTGGGTGTTCATTCACACCTATGCAATCTCATTGCCTTCAGATCATATCTTCACTGGGGTCTGTGAGATTTGGTTCTAGCAATGATAATACATATGAAATAAGGTTCACAGTGAAACCAGTGAGCTGATGGTTTGAGCCTGAGTATTTGTGATATCCAAACCAGCTCCAAAGACAAGGATGAATATACAACAAACCCTATGGGAGCCTTCCTCATCCTTACAGTAAAATCCAAGGTGTCCATTTCTTCGAATCTTACTTGCTGATCCAAAAGAGCTGATATCAGTATAAATGTTGAAATCCCCAAAAACAATAATCCACTGGGACTCCAACAGCAGTATGCAGACCAGTTCAGAGAACTAAGCTATGAAATCCCACGGTTAGAGGTCTATATACCAATAGAACCAGATAGGACTATGTGCTTGAATAAACATGTCCATGTGACTCTCCCGTGCAGCTCAATTTGAAGAAAAATGTCCTAGTTGCCCTCACGCACACCTTTTTTTTTTTTTTTGCACATGAGTCAATACCTGACCAGAACAAGTCATGAAAAGATTGGGTTTGTCATGTCACTCGTCCAGGAGTGAGAAAGAGAGAGAGATGCGAGATCTTGGTGAGAGTATCTGCCATATTCACAACAGGACTGATGTTATTTGAGAGTATCAAATGTTCACGTAGGAGGAATCCATGTTTCCATCTTAAATCAGTGGAGAAGAATGTCAAGAGGAGTTTTCTACTCCTTCCCTTCCCTGTCATAACTTCCTAACAGGAGCAGAGAAAGAGAATTATATATTGTTGCATTAAGACCTCATGTTTTTGAGTAGTTTTCATTCATTTGCTGCTGCTACAGAAATATCCAATGCTATTTAAAAAAAAAAAACTTGTATTACTGAGAGGTGAGAATCCTAGTGTGCTGCCACTCAAGGATGGGAGAAGGGTAGCATTCTCTTCCTCTCTTTCCCTCTGCTTCCACCGGGCAGATTCTAAATAACGCTTTATCCTGCGTGAAACCTGGTGGCTCCTAGGCCAGTAGCTCTATTTTCATATCTCTGTTCTTTGCTCTATTCTTTCTGCTTGTCTCCAGGCAGAAGAATCAGAGTGCTGATCATCTTACTGAGGTTGTAAACCCAAGAGTATAACAGAAAGTCTTACCTCTGCTAGCCAAGGAAGCATCCTGTAAATACTGCAGTTGTACAGCGGGCTATATATTCTATGGGTTGTGGAATTATAGTCTGATGCAGTAACTCCACCTAAATATTTTGTTATGGTGTTTTGTTTTTTAGGCACAAGGGGATGCATCCACTTCTGGTTTAAAATTCACTAAAAGTAGTGCACATCCATGAGGGATGAATTTGGCCCAGTAATTCTGTAGACAACAACAATACAAATATTTTTTCCTTTACATATTTGAAAATCAGGTTTTCATATTAAAAATGTTGTTGCTCTTTTTAAAATAAATACTACAACTCCAAATAATATTAAAAGACTTGGCCCTGAACAAAAACTTTCCTACTGACATAATCAAAATTCAACTGGTACCTTTTCCAGCTGTAAGATTTAGTATCATTAGTGTTAAAACTTTTATCAGATATCTCACAGCTAGAATAAAAATCAATCTCAGTAACAGCATCCTACAGTTCCTTGTCTTAGTCTAACTAAATTATACCTAACAGTTTAAAAATGAGCTGCAAAATTTCAAAGTGATTTATTCCATCTTCTCCTTTGTCATAGTAGAACGTTTTCAATTCAGAAATCTGGTTGCAACCCTATGCTGAACTCTTGCTCCTTTGCTTCAGAAATTTGTTAGCTATAGCTAGATTAGATTTTTAGCAGCTAATCTAACAGCTGTAGGGGTTTGCAAAGTGGGGACAGAGCTGTGCTATTGGATTTGTCCAATTCATTTGACTCCAGGACTATAATTGCACTTATGTCTTACAAGGCTTTTATAGCCTAAGGCTGGCCAGCAGCAGAAAAACAAATTGGCAGTGATACAGTAAGAGTGAAAGGGAATGAAAGGCACACATTATCAGTCTCCAGGCAGCGCTGTTCTGGCAGGAAGTTTCTTGGTTAATTTACAAATAAAACTTAGATTTTAGGATGGGCTCACTGTCAGACAAACAATGGGGATGTCAGGCCTCACTGTTACTTAGTAAAAGTAGCAGCCATGCCTACCCAAAAGCAGGAATTCTTCAATCAAACAGACGACTCCTTTCTGGAGCCAGCTGGCTAAGTAATGCAATTAGTAGGAAAAGGAGGTCAGACTATTAGGTGTGTACCATGACCAGTGTCAGCAGTGGCGTGTTGCCTGGCAGGCAGCATGCAGACTAGCTAAAGCAGAGTGCCTTTAAAACTATTTACTCAAGTGAGTGAGTGGAAGTGGCGCACGACTAGCCTCAGAACATGGAGTTGTTTTTGTAAGGCTTGAAAAATGAGCATTTGTGCTGTAACTGACAAGTACATTCTGAAGCACATATTCTAGCTGAGGGAGTGCAGCTGAGACATGATTAATGATGGCATAATTCAAATTAGAGGCTATAAATTGACCAAAATTATATGTATATTCATGGTTTGATCTAATTGAGACATTAAGGAAACTACTGTACTTGAACAAATGTGTGGTTAAAAATGTGTGTAAATCTTATTCACATTATTAAAGTTGTCTTTATGTGCAGTTTATAAATTAATACTAATCTATTAAGTTTTGAGAAGGAAAATGCAAACAACTGCAAGAGCTTCCTTCCTTGAGTATTTGCTAATGTACATCTCCGGTATCTTTCAGAGCAGGGCTCAATTTAAAACGACAGTCTACTTCTTTGTCTTATTTTCCAGTTTCATCCTTTTCGTGGTCAGTTGGTTGGTTTTTTCAAACTACGTATATTGGAGGAGAGAGAACTCATCACTTTTGCTCTGGATTATTCATTTATTTGCTTATTTGACTATAGCCAAAACTGTTCCTTTTTTGTTTAGTTTGTGCTCAGAAGCTTTAGATATATATCACACAAAATCCAAAACATTATTTTTTTTCAGTGATCCAAGTAAGAAGTCTACAGTTAGTGTATTATGGTTTTACTGTTCTGTGTCACTGGCAATATAACGATGTTTTAGCAAAACACAAAAGCTGATAAGTACAGTATTATAACAATATAATCAATATTGTCAGAGTTAACTGAAAATTCAGTGAAATCTTTTCCTCCATTGGTTTACAAGACTAAATCCTCTCCTGGTCCCCCTCCTAACTCTCTAAGCTCTCCTTCAGCATATCCTTCCTCATCTGCCCTCTAATTTTCTGTGGGGCTTCCACAGGCTTTTGTTCTAGGTCCCCTTCTCTTCTGCCTATACATTTCATCTCTGGGTAATCTCATCTGCGAACGCAAATTTAACAACCATGCCAGCAACTCACAGATTTATGTCTCTACACCATGTTGTCTTCTGTTCAAAGTAAAGCCTCAGTCTGCCTCTCTGACATCTTGTGAATGTCTAGCTAACATGGCTAAAACAGAGCTCCTAATCTTTCCCCTCCGACATCTTCCCTACTATCTCCTTTCTCTATTGCTGTGGACAGTGCCACCATCATGACTGTCAGACAGGCCATAACCTGAGTGTCACCTTCAACTCCAGTATCTCTGGGTCCTCATAGCCAGGCTATATCTAAATCTCTAAGACATGGCCTTTGTACATCCACTAAAGCTCTCACCCAAGCTCTCATCATCTTGCGCCTTGATTAATGCAACATTCTTTTTTCTGGCCTTGAGAAATGCGATCTTTTGGCATTCATATCCATTCAGAATGCTACTGCTAAATTTTTCGTAGCCCATCACTTTGACAATGTCACCTCTCTCTTTGAATCCCACCGTAGGCTCTCCCTTCTCTGTTGAATCAAACATAAACTGCTTGTGTTCACTTTCAAGGCCCTTCATAGTAAATCCCCACCCTACTTATCTCTCATTCACTACTGAGCTGTCAATGTTTGCCTCTGTATGACCCATGATGCCAGCCTCTACTGCCCACTTGTTAAATTTTCAAACAGGCACCTTGTGCTATTGCCCTTGTTGCCCCATATGTTTGGAAGGCATTTGGCATAAACATCCACAAAGCTACCTTATTACCCACCTTCAGATCCCCCCTCAAAATTCTCCTTTGCAATGATATCGACAAAAAACCTGACAATGGTTAAGCTGTTGGTGTGGAGAAACCACTGCCTGTCATGCTGACCAATATTGTCTCGTTGTTTCCTTGTACTCCCGTCTGTCTGTATCGATTGGTTGGTTTTCGTCTTGTACGCTAGACTGTAAGTCTCTGGAGGTAGGGACTGTCTTTTTGTTCTGTGTTTGTACAGTGCCTAACACAATGTGGTCTATGGCTAGGGCTCCTAGGCACTATTGTAGTACAAATAATAATAATACTGATCAAGGAGATATGTCCTTTTAGAAATATTATGATAAAATGGTCTTTTATGCTTTAAAGGCAATTATCATTCTAATATAAAACAAATGTATGTTTCTGGCACATTACTTTGGGCTGTGATTGTGTTATATCTCATAGATGAAGCAGAATGTAGCCTTGAGAGTACTTGGATGGGTAACGTCTCAGAGAACCCTAGGAGCTATAGGAAGTAAGGGTCATGATTCAGTAGGTGTCTGTCTGTCTTCTAAGTGAGTATTAAACTGATGCCAAAAGTGTTGTACTAAGGAGCACTGTGCTGCTGAAGGGAGATATCTTTGAGAAAAGATAAAACCAAGGCGCCAATCATGTGATGATTAAGTATGTCATTGTGGTTTTTGCAAGAGGTAGAGGCGTAAGCCATTGTTTCCTGGCTAAATGACAACTAGCGAAATTACATTCTTTTGGCCTAATTTCTTCCTATTTTGGATGTTTTCTTGCATCTAAGTCCTTCTACAAAATATGGCGTTGCTGATTCAGAATGGCTACTATGTTAATGCTCTAGACGTGGCTGTATTTCAGACATAGGTGGAGCAATCACTGTAATGTTTGTAAAGTATTTTGGGATTCTTCAGAATGAAAAGTGCTGATAAATTTAAGAAATCATTGGTTGAAGAATTCATATGATTAAAAAAGATGTTCCTTTTTTAAAAGGATTTGGTCCTATGTTTTGCTCACTGCTTTCTATACATCTGTATATATTAATCCTCATTTACATTGCATAGCACTTCCAAAAATAATCCCATTGAACTGTTTTCAAAAATTCTACTCAGTGAATACAGGTGGCCTGATTTGAGCTCTTACTGTTGTTCAGCTAGTAAACTAATATATTAACACACCACATTCCCTTCCACATTCCTTTTACCTTTTGTTAGATTAATACAGACTATTTCTGAATAGGTGAAATGTATGTATTAGTGTAGCCCAGGTAGTTTCTTTTTTCAGTAGCAAATTTGCTTCACATCTTGTTTGTGGTCACTCTTATGTTTTATAGTTGAATCTATTTGCTCACTATGGGTGAAATCGTGGGAGTTTTGCTATTCTTCAGTGGAACCAAGATTTCACCGTATATTCTCACAGTACCACCGCTTAATATTGCTAAATATATATATATATATACACACACACAATATTCACACATTATGGTTATTTTATCTCAATCATCAGATATCATTACAAAATAATGAAATGCTCGTAGCCATGGGCATGATAGTGAGAAAGTTAATTTACGCTAATCTGTATTGGTCCAGGAAAAAAATACTTTGTGTAGTGTTTACACATTTCAAACTGAGGAATGAGGGACTGATGATTACTTGTTTTGTAGATAGGATTGAAATGGATTTTTCATTTGTACATATAAATCAGAGAAATAAATTCAGCAACTTTTCTGTGTCAAGTAAAATCAAATAATGAGCTGTGAACTTGAGGTATTGTATGAACAGGTCTTATTTTGCTTTTCCCAAGTATAAATCCCAGGTATTATTAACCTATAATGTCCTAAGCAAAGGTACTGTTAGCATTCTGATCCTCGCAATGTTGTTTTGCAACTTTGATAGAAATCCTTTACTGTTACAAATTACCATCCAATTCTAGTAGAGTGAAATTCATCACTATACAGAAGGCCAGAACAAGGCCTATGCTTCACTTTAATCACCAGCTTTATCTATTTTAAGGTTTAAATGGAACTTAAGTATTGCACAGGTCTTGTGCTAGCCCACTGCATAGGGGTAAATTTCACCTTTAATAATAGATATAATGTCAAGGTAAAGTGTATAGCAGAAACAGTCTATTGTGGATGCTCAATATGTAATTTTCAAATGACTTTACCTTTGTTAAATCACAAACATTTTTTTCTTCACAAAGAAAAGGCACTACTACTTAATAAGGACTATTTCTATGCTACATTTCAACTTTAAACTTCAGACATATTTTACGTTTTTTTTAAAAAGGTACTTTTCTCCCATTCTGTCATAACTCAAAAACTACTTCAGAGATTTTGCTCACATTTTCAAAACACAGTTTGCCTTCTGACAGATATAGCGCAGTAAGTGTCAGACCCAAAAGTGAATCTTTCAGGTGTCTGAGAAAATAGGATATGGGAAATCACAATGGAAAGTGTGTTTGCAACCTGAATCATAGTAATTACTATCACTGTGAAAACTATAATATTTTAACTAAATTTAAATGTTCTGCTAATAAACATTTTGATCTAGTAATCCAGATTAGCACAGAAATCTGTATATATACTGTTCATGTACACCTCATGCAAGTTGATAGTTTGATAATTACTTAATTAAACCATTAAATAACAATGTGTTTTGAATGAGGCAAGTTATTTAGTTGCTTTTAATTCCAACAAGCAGAGAAAAAGCAATATTTTAACCTTTTCTGTAATGAAATATTTCTACTGTCAAGCATTGTAATTCAATTTGTAAGCCATGACCCCTCATAAACTGTTGTTATCACTCTGATTAATAAAGAGCCAATTTGCTGTTGCAGCTTCGTCACTTGGGAAATGATGAGGTTCACATCGTCTGGTCTGAGCACACCAGGAACTACCGCAGGGGTATTATACCAACAGATTTTGGAGATGTTTTAATTATTATTTATCCAATGAAGAATCACATGTTTTTCGTAGAGATAATGAAGAAACCAGAGGTATGTTTTAAGCTACTTTATTGTGTCCATCATAAACATTGTTCAAATGGCCAACAATTCTTGTGTAGCTTAAAGGAAACTTTATTCCGAGAATTTAATATGAGTAGAGATTTAAATGGTCAGATATGAAATGAAGAACATATTAATATTACATTAATGCTTAGCATTTGGGGCAACCTTTCAAATTTCTAAAACTGTAGGAGATGAAATATGAAAAAAGATATTTAAAACAATGGCAAAGATCTATTTAAACTAATAAAAGCAAGGGAATTTAGAGTTCAGGCTTTCACTAGGCATTAATTCACCCCATCATGCTTAGCTACTGCGGCACATATGGTATTGTATGTACCCTCAAACAATGTTTGAGACCGCTGCAATAATCTGACTCACTGGGATGATTTAAGGATTGAGTGTGATTCCTCTCACTCGGCATCCTTGTTTTTGTGTGAAATGTCAAACAATTTATATTTGTAAGACTTAATTTAATTTCTTTTCTGTTTTTGTCAACAATTTAAAATAGTATAACTTTTTTCAACTTCCTTATAAATGTGGGTTTAAATCTCAAAGCAAAAGCAACCAGTGTCTAAAAAGTTGTGTAGATAAAGATGGAATATTTATATTTGAAATGCAGAAATTGAGTGTGAGTGAGTGTGTGTGAGTGTAAATTTTGGTTCTAATATATTTGATATGTTAACTTTTCAAGGCAAAATTTATTTTATAAAAGTAATTATAGTCCACAATATCATCTCCTTCATACATAAAGGATGATATTTATCTTGGAGTACAGCCAAGTGCAGAAATGATGCATAAATCCAGTGACACATTTTTCAAGTTGAATATGATGCATCTTTCAGAACTGTGAAAGATACAAGAATTGTACAGTTTAACAATTAGTAATTTGTGAGTATACATTTACAAAAATAAACCTTAGAATTTGCAACTTTTTAAATTATGACCTTTTATTGCTGTTAAACTTTATTTTGGGTATATAAAGAATCTGCAATCCACTTGTCAGGGACTTAAAAGTAGTGAAAATGACATCTTAGAATGCTGAAGTATTATAAATCATGTAGCCCATCAGTATCTTGTCACGAGTTTCATAAACATTTTTTAGAATTTAGCATTATAAGCTGGTTTGAAAATTGTGTGAATCGATCCAAGAAAAGCTGTCTCTTTTACATATTACTCAAAAAACACCCAAAGGCATAAAGAATAATAGCCAAATGGAAATTTAGTGTTATCCCTACATTTAAAGTACAAACCATTACAATGTAATAAAATTAATCCAGACATTTCCAGGGCAAGTGTGGCTGACCTTTTGTTCACCAGCTACTGACCCCAGGGTGAATGAAAGAGGCTTGCAGAGAGAAATGTCTGTTGTTTGGCTTCAGTCCCTGGTATTTAAATTGCATTCCCTAATCAAATGAAAAGGCTGTCCTCTCTATCAGGTTACAGAATCCATGGTAACATTTGGCCTTTTATATACATAATGTTAGCCTTTTTGTTTGCATCTAAGTAGAGACACCTGGAGCAATGTTAACATTAACCGATTTAGCATTAATAGCTTCATTATATAAGAATTTCTGATCAGCTAGCTGTTACTTTTGTTATATTGCTTCAGCTTGTATTGTTTTCATTTTTATCTCCCTGCTTGGCAACCAGGCAATGATTTGCAAATTTTTTTTGTCTTGATTAATTAAGCAATATAATTATCAGGAACTGTGATGCAGTCTTTGCTCAACAAAGCTTCTGAGAGAAAACAATAGTAAGTCTGTTAGTATGAATGCATTCCACGCGTCACAGATGCATGAGGATATTCTAAACAATGAGACGAAAAGCCGCCTGCAAAAGAGGACAAAGAATGCCATGCAGACTCTACACACTACACATACCGCCAGGGACATACTGTGGGTTCCCTGGGACACAGATGCCTCGTTAGATTGCAGCTAGTCGTCAGAGATTAATTCTCAGCCATTTGGTACTATAATTTACCCATTCCCGAGTCTTTTAACTAGTGCTGCTTACTATAGAACTGAGGTAGTTATACTCAAAAGGTTTCTTTAACTTTGCCTTCTTTTAGTGTGTACAACAACAAAAAAAACCCCTATTTTTTCTTAGGTTAGTGATTGTAACGAAGCAGGTGTTTGCAATGTGGGGAATATTAATTTTTGTGTTTCTTTGATAACTTACTTCAGAATTAGTAGTGGTCAAAGAAGGGGTACATTTCTCTCCACATCTGTAAATTTTATCCGAGTATAGTTTATTTCTGTTGTTATATTTATCTTTCATCCCTCTGACACTTAGGATTCTTTAAGAGGTAATCTTGTTTTGGCTCCTTAAAATAATATCAACTCACATAAAGTACTGAACAGAGAACATTGTAATATATATTCAATTTACTTATTCAACCAAACTCCCTCATTAAGGCAAAAAGATCCACATGGGTGAAAGCTTATGACTGCATGGAGTCCCATTGATTTTAATGGGCCTCATCCTGGGCATTGCGAGTGCACAGGAATTGATAATTCTAGTCTTTTTCTTCATATGGATTTATGGCCCAGTCGTGTATTCCTTGTGCAGCTAACACTCCCATAGAATCAGAGTCCACAATTGGGGATTTATACACCAGTCCTGAAATGTACAGAACACCCTCAACATCCACTGAATTCAGATGGAATTAAGCATTCTCAACAATTCAGAGGATTGGACCCTAAAACTGAAAGCACTTTATGTTATGGATTTAACACATTTTGAGAAGTGCTATAAGTATACCTGGCAATCGATACATACATATTTTTATTAATAATAAAATACTATTAACTCCATATTTTACTGTTTGACCCAGTCTTCCTCACCAAGAAACTCCTCACTTTTGATGAGGCAGAGCGGTAACACAGGCTCACAGCTCTGGATGCCCCAGCACCAGTTACACATTGGCATTCTGAATATTTGTCTTTCAGAGCATGCATTCATTAACTGTCATGCAAAGTCAATTCTGTACCTCCCTGTGTTCACATTCTCTGAGTCCATACTGCATTGAAAAAGAGATGTATGCATAAAGGGTGTTTGTGTATACATGTTGACAGCACCTGTCATCTTTTGTTTATTGTATAAAACCCAGGAATTAAATACTTTTCATACAAACCTTTGCCAGGAACTTCCCTTGACCTCGTCCAAAATTTGTCTACCCCCTTCTTTCTTCTTCAAGGTCCTCCTGAAAATATGCTTCTTTAAAGAGGCCTGTAAACCATAGGCCACCCTTCCACCTGATGTACTGAAAGATATTCAGATAAAAAGTAATCCATACAAAACTATGGAACTGACAGGACAACTTTTTGTTGCTCCCCTTCCTACCGCATCCTTGTTTGCATATCATATGTTCTTTGAGTGCTTGCTCATGTCGATTCCATTCTAGGTGTGTGCACGCTCACGTGCACAGTTGTCGGAGACTTTTGCCTTAGCGGTATCCGTATGGCTGGCTGTGGCGCCCCCTTCAATGCTACGCTAAAGCGTCAGTATGTCAGGCACCGCCAGCCCAACACCCTCTCAGTTCCTTCTCACCACTTGTGGTGGTTGGTCAGAGCACCTCTTTCCCTTGCTTCGCAAGTGATCCGTTTTCTTTTTTTGTCCCTACTCTTTGAACCTCATGTTCCAGCTTTAAATAGTTTGTTTTTTGTAGTAGATTAGTTAGTAAGTAGCTGTTAAGTACTATAGCTAGTCAGTTATGGTCCTGGTGGAGACTTTGCCCCAGGCAGGGCATATCTCAGTCTCCGGGTTTTAAGCCCTGCTCTGACTGCAACAGGCCTATGCCTGTTAGTGACCCACATGTCAGCTGTCTGAAGTACCTGGTGGAATCCCACATTAAAGAAAAGTGTCACATCTGTAAGAACTTTCATCCCAGGACACAGAAAGAGTGTGACATTCGCTTGCGGCCCCCTTATGGAGGCCGCTCTTCGCCCAGCCTTGGAAAGCCCAGCACTTCAGCCTCGGTGCGTAGCGCACCCCTGGCACTGGGCTCTTCCCATCTCCGATTCCCTTCGCCGTTACTCAAGAAGAAGACCAAGAAGAGGGACCCAGTACCGAGCAAGTCGGACCAAGACACATTGGGCAAAGGACCCTGCTTGGTCTGCCTGCCCACACGAGAGCCGGAAGCCACCACCGACTCCGGGGAGCGATAGGGGACCCAGACTGATGGCCCAGTGAACGCCTTCTCAGCTCCCAGCGCAAAGAGAGCAAAGAACTCTCCCACTGTGTGCTGCGATAGACCCAGCAAAGGCTCCCTACGAGGGCAAGCCAGCTGTGAAGGCCTCCCAGAAGGCGAGTGAGCGCCACCAGTCTCTGGAGCCAAGGCAGAGCCCTTTGTCATTGTGCCCTTGGTCTCTGCATGAGCCCAGGTCACCAGTTTGCCGCTACTGATCACTGGCACCACGCTCCGGGTCTCCACCTTCATGCCAGGCTTTGGCCCGAGGGAGGCACTGGTTACCTTACAGTTGGCACTGGTCAACTTTGCGCCGACACTAATCGTCACCGAGGTGTTGGAGATGCTCCCCAACATGGCGCCGCTCCCACTACTCCTGCTACCAGTCTGACTGTTCGAGACACTGGTCACACAGGCCCTGCCCTGGTCACCAGAGGAGGATTTCTCTGGCATGGAGAGGGAGTTTTATGGTGGGCCAGCGTCATTTCCAGTTCACGGTGCTCCCCGTTGGCTGTTGCGACTGGGCTCCAGAGGTTTCATCCACTGCAGTGATGCTGACCTGGCAGCAGGGCTACTGGCCAGCACAGTGGCCTTACTGGAATAGCTGAGGCATGCTGGTTATGCCGATGCTCCCATCTCACCAGTCCTCGGTCGCCACATCGGACAAACGCCAATCGGCACTGACAGCACCAGTGGCACCATCATGGTGCAGGAAGTGCCAGCAGGAGCTGAGGTGGAAGGACAGATGCCCACCACGAGACCCACTTCTCAGTGGGAGATGATGCCCTGGGCCCTCCCCTGG